GCGTTGTGGAACATACGACCATGGGTGCAATGTGACTCATTTCTGACTACAGTACTGCTCACACCCAGTTTAAAATCCTATTGAAGTTGAAGGCAAAAGCGTAACAAACACTGCGCATGGGAAATCTACATGGCTATAAATGTATAAATTTAAAATGGATTCAAGCCGAGACCATTCTTTAGTAAATTCACTGTTCTTATAGGCCTGTTTTTTCTGCCATTCTTTTCATTCAGACTTTTAGAAGTGTAGATCAATTTACCTCTGTAGCCGAAAATTGCTTGAATTTCCGGCAGTATGGCCTATGTTGGTTCATAACTCGATGCTCAAGCCGAGAAGAAAGCTCGAGATATCAAACCGAAGCGATAGATTATCGATAGAGTAGATCAAGATGCATCGTCGTAAAACATTTAGTGCGGGAGTGTTATGTGGACCTTGGGAAAAAGTTGTATAAATTTGGACTTGATCTACTTGATCGATGTTGGCTATACGAAAGCGCTGTTCTTTTGCCGTCATTCCGAAGAGGTACACTGTTAATGCATAGACAAAAAATCGAATAAAAAATGATTTGCTTACTTTCGTACATGAAAGCAAGAAGTACGTGAAGCCATCAAGACGAGAGAGAGAGATTTTTTTCGCACGCTCGGCAGTGAGAGGACTTGTAAACTGACGCCGCAGCAGTTCAATTCGTGTCTGAATTTCTTTTAGGTGTTAACATTGAAGAAATCAGTCACTAGCAGATCAGCGAATCAGCATACTGTATATTTGCGTAGGCGGTGCATTTAAACACAGCACCACGCCAACTCGAACTTTAAATAGAGGACTTCTAGGAAAAATACGTATCGATGGTTGTGGTGTCAAGCGCAAATGACAAAGCAAACCCTTCGCATTAAGCCGTAAAACTGTAAAATTCGATGGTCATATATATTCTGGTTTCAAATGGTGAACCGATGGTCACTAGAAGGGTGCTTTGGTATGCAGAAGCGCACAATATCAACACCGAAACTTCTTTTTGCCTCCTTTAGTGCATTTTTTCTTACAATTGCTCCTCAATTACAACTTACTTTCTTGGATACTTGGATGAATCGTCTTCACTGGTTGTGCGGACTCCAGCGTAATTTCCATTGTTTCGGAGTTCAGCTGGCTTAGCCACCGTCGTTCCCTGGAGTCCCGTGGTCAAAGTCTGCCCCAGGTCGTCACCCTCACAGTCGTAGTCGCCGCACTCGTGGACCAGAGCCAGATTTGCCACCATACGATGAGTAGTTTAATACCAGAGAGGTGGTGGATCTTATTTTCGGTTTTTTTCTTAGCTGGACTTCCTGATGGAAACGTCGGACTCCTTCTCAGCTTGCCAGACCCTGCTGGTATGATGAAACCTCCGCGGCACATCGCAGCCCCACACCCAGGAACACCTCCTTGTCACTATGAGGCGGTAAACTGTTGGGAAAGTTATCACTCTAAAAATTCCGTAAAACTACGATATTTGCAGCTTATTTTATAAAACAAGTTCTCGAGAATCGAAGTTAGGTCTTCTTTAAGTTTTAAGCCCTTCTGGATCGTTAGCGAGAAGATAAGCAATGATTCTTCACCATAGGTACCAGTAGATAACAGCAATCAACTCGGCCTTAATATATCTCAGAGATCTACCACGAAACAAGAGTTGATCGATGTGTATTAATTGTACAGAATCTTAATAAGATGTGTATGGTGTCCGCTATAGTACGAATACATATAATAATGAAGATGAAACTTATATAATTTGAACAAGTTGCAAATATTACAAATGTAGACGTCTTAACAAATATCCCATTTCTCAGTTCTCAAAAATAAAGTGTGGTTTTCCAAAATACTAGGCAACGGGAAAAAATAACCCATTCCAAATGACTGAAAACTTCTACATTTATTGGCGCAATCGATGTTGGCTGTAAAAAAGCACAATCCCAACGTACTTCGCTTCCGACTGACGCTTTTAGGGCTATAATAGCGTCCGCTTTTGTCTTTACAATAAGTCCGTTGATTTTTGTTATCCGATCTCCTAAATTGTATGGGCATCAAAGAGTTCTCCGCTAGATTTCAGATGATTTGAAAATAATCGATATATTACACCTTTTTATTTTCTGCCTACTATAATTTCGCAGCAGGGTACTAAGCGAAATACAACCACGACGTTGCTGAGATATTTGCAAAACTCTGGACCGCAGGTGTCTGTTCGTTCCCCACCCTAGACACCTGCGGTCCAGAGGTCCAGAGTTTTGCAAATATCTCAGCAACGTTGTGGTCGTATAATCGATATACTTGATATCCAACACAAAAATTCCTTACCATTAAAGAGGTACATTAATAACCATAACGAATTCTTACCGATGTTAACTCACCTACAATCAGCTCCGTACAAGTCGGAATTGCTGATGGTAAGATACTCATGATCATCATGTTGTCATCGACGTCAATTTCATTCTTAAAGGACTATGAATTCTATTTTTAAAGTCGTTTTCATTTTCAGCAATCGCGAAGTTGTAATTCAGCACACGTTTACTTCCATACACATAGAACGGCCGCTCCTGCTGTTCTTCCTTGGTGGAAGACAAGTGGAAAAAGCGGCTCTGAAGAAGGCGATTCTACCGAAACGTCAGCTACTGATGTGGGTGTATGTGTTCTATGTGTATGGAAGTAAATGTTATCTTATTTGTCCAGAGATCAGGTTAGGTTACGATAATGCCTGCAAACGTAGGATTGTTCAACAAAAATGCAGTACCACGCTGAAGCTCCCATGGTTTACAAAAAATTTACTAGACAGGCGACAACACTTAAATGTGACCATCCTAGCAGTGAAATCGTCTGCCATCTTTCCTGACTAATAGAAATTCTTCTAAACTAAGGTCTTCTTATTCAGCTTACATGGTGGGTTCGTAAGCAGCATCATTCGATTACGACTATGGGACCAAAAGTTGCCATTGAAGGTCATAACATACTTCTTTATTCACTTTAAATGTCGCTTCTGTTCTTTTATAAGGAATCTCGGGCAAAATAGTAATTGGACCGCCAGCTCCTTTTTTGCTGAAAATAAGAATCTACCCCGGAAACCCAAGCAAAAATTTGTTACAGAACAACAAAGAGAGAAGGATTCAGCAAAGCAAGCATACGGTCCCGCTGCTCGAGCCATAGTATTGCTGCAGGGGGTGACGACACCTACAAAAATGAACCATCGCGGTTTTGATTGGCTTTTAACTGTTGTTATTTATCATATTTTATCCGAATAGCATGGTATTGGTAAAAGAATAAAAAGAACAAGACGATCGCCCAGCACTGATTAATCCCTCAATGAACCACACATCCGACTCTATTGATGAACGTCAAGGTTACTTAATGCGCATTTCGCGCAGGGCAATAACATTCGAAGGCCCATCGATGAATTACGTCAGTGGATTTTATCCTCTTGGACAGGTTTGGTAGTAATTTGATGATTTCACAAGAATTGAGGGTTTGGTTTTCCAACTCAGAAGAATAGAGAGTTTATCAGAGTCCCGAAATTGAACTAATGCTCTCGTTCACACTATAGGGCACTTCCTAAACACTGTGTACGCATTCTATGAACTTAGTGTTTACTACCACAACGTTGCTGAGATATTTGCAAAACTCTGGACCGCAGGCGTCTATGGTGAGGAACGAACGCGCTATTGTCCTTTCCGGGGAGTAATGCGTTCACCACCACACCATGCGGGTCCTTTGTTTTGCCTGTCTCTCAGCTATTTCTATCGATCTTTGCCACAGCAATCACCCGTCAGCGGGATTGATCTAGGGCGCCCAAATCGGCATAGAACCCAGTTAAGCTGCGGGTGTAGTAGAAGCTGAGAGACAGACAAAACAAAGGACCCGCATGGTGTGGTGGTGAACGCGTTACTCCCCGGAAAGAACAATAGCGCGTTCGTTCCCCACCATAGACACCTGCTGTCCAGAGTTTTGCAAACATCTCAGCAACGTTGTGGTTGTATTACGCTTAGTACGCTGCCACGAAATTATAGTAGGCAGAAAATAAAAAGGTATAACATTAGTGTTTACTATTATTAATGGTGGAAATCTCGCACAAACGGATAAGATCAGCTAACTCGATATCACCATGTGAGGTTGCTCGTAACCGAAATTTTCGTCAGCATTACATAGGAATAGCTAAATAACAACTGCCAGATCTATTCCATTCACACGCACACCGAGTCATATCGTTCATTTCGACAACAGTAGTCAGAAGTTGGTGGTAATACACATGGTGCTTCCTTTCTATCCGCTTCTATCGCTCGTTCTTCTCGTCCAGGTCCTATTCTTCATCTACCTTATCGTTTCTTTCTCAGTTCAGTTGTATGACATCAACATGAACAACTTATTCGCTCGTCGACTTGCCCTTAATCAAATCTATCTTCATGAAACACAAATGAGCCGATTTTGGGTTATTCCGGAAACAGAGTAGTGAGATTGTTGCTGTTTAAAGTCAGTCAATAAAAATGAGAAAAGTGTATTAATGTACGTTTACACTTATTGATGGAATGCACTTCATTAACAATTCTTGGAGTTTAGAAGGCACGAAGAGAAATCAAACAGATGTAATCATACATGTACAGCATATTGCAGAAAAGACAAAACATCGACAGAGTAGTTCTATTAAATAGATCTTCTTTGTATCCTATACACATCCACAGATAATGAGCACTTCATTAAACACCCCTACAGCGGTGGCTACCTCCACTGGTTGTGGTTCTCAAATACGCGCATCAGACCAACCGAACCTAGTTAAAACTGCAACAACATAATTTTACACCAAAGTGTAAATAAATACTTTAATAAGTCGACTTCCGAATTCAGCTGACAATGGGTTACTCCGACAACAAAACACTTTGTTTTCTACAAACAATGGAGGAAGCATATCTTAAAATATCTAACAATCAGCAGTGCAGTTATATTTTGGGCACATGTCTGATGGGGCTGATGATCTACCTTTCGGCAGGAGCCAACTACCAGCTGAGATTTTGCCTCAATTCGTGCAACACGTCCATTACGATGCCAACATTCATGCTGAGGAAGTTCATGCTTGTTTCGATCACTCCAAAGATGTGCATAGAAGACGCTTCGTCACTCAGATCAAGCCTTAGACGTTCTTCCACCTTATAAGAATCTGACTTATTAAAGAAGCAAATTGTGATATCGCAAAAGCACAAAGCCTTGTTTCGTGAGAATAGGTCAACGTTCACTGACCTTGAAAACAGCTTTGTCCCGTTCTTCTGAGATATTCTGAATTCCAGCATCTAGCATAAGAGAGAATAAGTTTAAAATAACATTAGCATGTCGGCGTAGTATACGGTAAGCCGAGTCACAATGCATACAAAAATGCCGAAAATGATCACTGAAATTGGTAACGTAGCCCAACTACCGCCATCTAATCTCTGCTCATTTGCTACTTAGATTTAACTACTGCATCGAAAACCCCAAATACATCAAAGGACTACGCTACCAGTTTAGATGGATAAATCTTATTATTACTGAAGAAATAATTCGTATCTCTTTTCTATAATGAGGTTGTAACTTGTAGGTTTAGCACCGCTTGGAACCAGTTCCGAAGTACTCAAAAAAAAAAATCATTTTAAGCTTAGGATTTAGAAGCAAAAAATTCATTGAAAACGACTAAATGAGTATGTTACCGAAAGGTAACACGAAGACTACAGGAATGAGCCTAGAACGAAGTTTAATGGATAGGCAACCCTTGAAATGGATTTGAGAACATGACTGTGCAATTAATAAATACCGACATCAACTGCACTTTCGCAGTTTATGTCAATATAACTTGCATTATATATTGGAATGAACACTTCTAGTCTAAAACGCCATGGTCGAAATAATTTACGCAACCTTTTAATTCCGCCCATTGCTTGTAGCATTTCATTCGTCAACTTCATCGGTGGAGGTAATGGTTTCGGATCGCGTCCAAGTATGAATCCAAAATCCACGTGAAATAAACGACCGCTTTCACACAATAGCAAATTGTCCAGATGACGATCGCCAACACCAAGAACGTAACACATCACGCAGTAGCTGAACGATGTGTTTCTGTTCATATAATAAGCCTCAATGAGAATTCTAATCTGGGCCAAAATGATGTATAAATGACTGAACTGATTAATATTATTCATTCAGAGTGAAGAGAAAAAAGACTTTTGAATCATTTGTACCATTACAGTTTATAAAGGATAAAAGATAAAGTTCTAGGCGTTGATCAACCCTTGAGCGATGCGCCACGCATTCGACTTCATTAAGCATCGTTTGGAGGTGATTAAATGCATATCTGGTCTTTATAATGACTCGCAGTGGCCTGCCGATGTATCGAGCCAGTGCTGCTATCCTCACAGATAGATCTTGTACCAATTTGCCGATCCCAGAGGGATGGAAGGCTTGGTGGGCCAGAGACGCGCGGTTCGATTCCACGTTTATGTTACAGGGTGCCTCCTGACCACTGCGCCACACGCGCCCCTATCACAGTGTATATTGCCTTAAATAATTGGCTGCCTCAGTTTGAATTTCATTTCGACGTAAAAATTTGAATACCCATAAAGTAGTAAAACGTAAAGATAGGCTATTTGGAAAAACAATCTAACAGAAGCACAATTTCTTTTTAATTTTCTAAAAACTTGAATGAAAACAAATTCCAATTAAAAACCAGGTTATTATGTGCTGATAAAGAATCCTCCCGATAGTGTCGAAATAGTAGACAGCGGTTCAAAACTGTCGCAGTGGAAAAATTCAAGTGTGACATCCTGACATTAATGGCCTAAATCCACTGTACATCGTAATGTAACCGCTTAGCGGATACGTGGGAGAGATAAAATCATTGAACATTACCATGAACTGATAATGATATAATCGGATGTCGTACTGCCACGACAAAGGGATAAAGAATAAAGCTCTCAGCGTTGATCAATCCCTGAGGGATGCGCCATGCATTCGACTTTATTAAATATCGTTAGAGGTGATTGAATGCGTATCTGGTCTTTACAATGATTGGCGGTGTGGCCTACCGATGTATCAAACCGGTGCTGCTGTCCTCCCAAACAAGTATGGTACCAGTTTGCCGACATAGGAATAATGGAAGGCTTGGTGGGTAACGGGCGCTAAGATTGACTCCACGTGTTTGTCCCAGTGGCGCCACCAACCACTGCACTACACGCGCCCTATTTACTGCCTCGATATAATTTCTAGAGTAACAGGCATACTACTCCAGAAACACAGCATAAAAAAACGACATACAGATCAAGTAAAATACAAGCCAAGGAAGGATAAGGGATTTAGGAGGAAGCAAGGAGGCTCTGGATACAAGAAGGCAACGTTAAAATGTTTTACTTTATTTACAATATAACACATTAATCGCATCCAAGCTGATGACATTTCTTCTACGCTCTGATTCGGATATTCCACGTCCGGCTTGGTAATTTGAAGAAGCGGTTGCCGAAAGCCAACGTCATAAATTTTGAGCGAAGGACCAAACTTAATTCGGCGTTATACAATAACTCTGCGCCTTTCAAGTGACTAATAACTTTCTAGTGCAGAAAACAGGTGTCTGACTGTAGCACCATTTAGAAAGACTAAGAACCTCTTATAGACACATAGTGAAAATGCAGTAGGTGCAAAATATCTTCAATGAGAGATTTCTAGAAAGTTCTAATCCTTCAATAACTTTCGGTTTCCGAAAATCACGTTTTTGCAACCGCAAACTAAAGCAGTGCCATTCCACAAAAAAATTCCTGCGGGTTTTATACCTTGAAATGCTCAACAGTTAGAGCAAAAATGGACGTGCAAACTGTACTATTAAGGGAACTGAACAGTTTCCATCTTACGATTGCATTAATGTAATATAACTAACATGATAATATACAAGTTCGTGCTTACGCCAAAAAGGATGTTAAGACTAAGTTGCCACGCTTAAAAATGCTCGAAATTCCGACCTACATAGCTTACCAACGATCAGGAATGTTCCCAATACCAAAATATTGAAACAGAACAAATCGAAACCATTGATGAGTCTCTGTACTTACCCAGCACAATACGGCGTTCAGATTTCATTAAGAATATTGTGGAGAAAAAACATAATATGATGCTCATATCTGCCATAAGAGAGCAGAACCAACAGGACACTGCGATACGAATGAATGCAGAACCTGGTTCATGACTAAGTTGCCAAAAGATTAATTTCCCGCCTTGTCACGGCAAAACGGTGTGTCGAAATGTGCTATATAAGAGAGTGATGTCTTCCAGAACAATTATTCAGTCCAGCTATGAGGAAACCAATACCACGGAAGAATGTGGCCAACTCTCAATACATGTCGGTGCGAAAATGAACATAAATGGGTAACCATAAGCAAACAACAGATGAGAAATGGAGCGTTCGGCGTTGAACGATCGCTGAAAAAGCTCCATCCATTCCATTTCACCAAACACTGTTAGAGACGGCTGAACGCACAAGTAACCGTACCAATGATATGAGGCGAGTTACCGATAAAACAAGTCAATGGTACTATCATCCCAGACAACTCTGGTACCAATGTCCCGAATCTGTATGCACGGAAAGCCTGGCGAGCCTCGGTGAATCGAAGCAGTGACCAGGTGTGTACAGCACGACACCTCTAGTCACCACGCTACAGATGTCCTGTCTTAACCCATAAAGCAACAACGCCGTTTTGCGTGGCTGGCCCAATCGAATACAAACAATTTTTCATCGGCTATGGACTTTCTGGTTTCTAGAAAATAAAAAGTAGTTTTTAATAACTAAAATGCTTTAGGGTTCTGAACACGACGAGATTGTAGAAGAGAGTCTGCTTTAACGTTCTATGGGTAGGAATGATACCTATGCTAGAATTTACTACGTGCTACTACCGTCCAGTATATAAATACATTGCTGTTAGAACTTAGAAATACTCTGCACCCTGCGTTGAGCCGATCTCGGCGTTTTTTATAGCCGCGCTTTTCATAGAATGACCATGGTGATAAAAAAAAAATAACAGTTAGTTCCCAGGATCGACTTTCTATTAACGTCGGCATTGGAATATGAATGCATCGTTTTCTTGTTCAGCAATCGCGAGGTTTTTAAACAGCATACATTTACTTCCATAGAGAAACACAATACAATACAACACTAGCTGACGTTTCGGCAGTATCGCCTTCTTCAGAACCTGGAAGGGTATACTGATATGCAATCGGCTAGACCAAGCGCTTCAATACCGCTTACAAAAAGAGGAAAAACTCTATAGTAATTACATGATCAGCAGCTTCTTGAAAAACAAACCGCTTTTTACGTGACTTCCAATGAGGAAGTTTAGACCAGCTGATTATAGTCGCATATGGCTGATGACTGCACCATCCCACATCAGAGATTGATGCGAACATACGGGGTCAGGTCGCGTATGACCTCTGGGCATTCATCTCTGCTATTCATTGTAAGGTTTTTGGCATTTACCCAAAAGGCCTCAAAAAGTTTTCGCACTGGTGTTTTAGACTCCTGTGCAAGGATATTGACTTTTACTTCAAAATCGTCTCCGCTATGCTTTTGTAACCTATGCGTGCCTAGTGGGGTGCTTCGTCTTAGTTTTCGTTTGCCATCTAGGTGTTCTTATATACGGATACACAAAGGTCTGCCCGTTTCGCCAATATATTCATCTCCGCAATTATTACAAGAGATCAGGTATATCGTACCTGAACTCATGCAATCACCATCCCTGCCGTAAGGGCAAATTACGCAATTTGTTGTTTCACATAGACGGTCATACAGGCGGTTACGAACTAATTGACGACGTAGAGCAGCCGGTGATATTTCAACTATCGCAACTGATTCCTCTAGACCTGCCCTTCTTAAACGTCGTTTAAAAGTTACGCTTACTTCATCGCTTATAAAAGGCAACATAAACGGGGCCTTCTTCTGGCCAAGTGTTTCGCGTGGGCGCGTCACTCTCCTTCCTAAACTTGTCTCGTAAGGTTACTATTTCGTAGCCATTGGAGATGACTATTTGCCGAGCCAGGTCGCGCGATTCTTCCTTAGTTGTGCACACAGCGGTGGCTGTTCGAAACATGTTTCTCACAAGCGCCCTCTTTGTGTGTGAAGAGAGGAAATGAACAAGAATGTTTTTGCAGCTAATGACTCTCTTAAAAGAGTGCCTAAACTGCTGGATTTTCAGATGGTCTGGGAAATATTTCGCACAAATAAGGGGATTGGCAATGGGACAGCGATTGGCACCAAGCCTTGCCATTGTGTTTATGCCTAAGATAGAAGCACCCCGTTCTCGATCTCCGGCCATTACTCTACTGCAGATATGTAGATGATTGTTTTGTCGTCTTCTCTACGCAGGAGGAGATGGACAAATGCTTCGAATTATTGAACGAGCAGTCCGAGTACATAAAGTTCACCCGGGAAAAGCCGAGAAAAAACTGGTTTCCCTTTTTGGACGTTCAAATAAACCTATAAAGTAGTGGTTACCTGACAAAGTGGTATCGAAAGCCAAGTAACAAGAACATTCTTGTTCATTTCCTTTCTTCCCACCCTTCACACACAAACAGGGCGATTGTGAGAAACATGTTTCGAACAGCCACCTCTGTGTGCACTACCAGACAACTAAAGGAAGAATCGCGCCACTTGGCCCGGCAAATAGTCATCTCCAATGGCTACGAAATAGTAACCCCACGAGATAAGTTTAGAAGGAGAGCGACGTGCCCACGCGAAACACTTGGCCAAAAGAAGGTCCGTTTAGGTTGCCTTTTATAAGCGATGAAGTAAGCGTAGCTATAAAACGATACTTCAAAAGGGCAGATCTAGAGGAATCGGCAGCGATAGTTGAAATACCACCGGCTACTCTACGTCGTCAATTAGTTCGTAACCGCTTGTATGACCGTCTATGTGAAACAACAAATAGCGTAATTTGCTCTTACGGCAGGGACGGTGATTGCATGAGTTCAGGTACGGTATACCTGATCCTTTGTAATAATTGTTGCGGAGATGAATATATTGGCAAAACGGGCAGACCTTTGTGTATCCGTATAAAAGAACACCCAGATGGCAAACGAAAACTAAGCCGAAGCACACCACTAGGCACGGATAGGATACAAAAGTAGAGCAGAGACGATTTTGAAGTAAAAGTCAATATCCTCGCACAGGAGTCCAAAACACCAGCGCGAAAACTTCTTGAGGCCTTTTGGGTAAATGCCAAAAACCCTACAATGAATAGCAGGGATGAATGCCCAGAGGTCATACGCGACCTGACCCCGTATGTTCGCATCAATCTCTGATGTGGGATGGTGCAGTCATCAGCCATATGCGACTATATTCAGCTGTTCTAAACTTCCTCATTGGAAGTCACGTAAAAAGCGGTGTTTTTCGAGAAGCTGCTGATCATGTAATTACTATAGAGTTTTTCCTCTTTTTGTAAGCGGTATTGAAGCGTTTGGTCTAGCCGATTGCATAACAGTGTACCCTTCCAGATTCTGAAGAAGACGATACTGCCGAAACGTCAGCTAGCGTTGTATTGTATTGTGTTTTTATGGAAGTAAATGTATGCTGTTTAAAAACCTCGCGATTGCTGTACAAAAATAACAGTTAATTGCCAGTCAAATTACCGGTCAATAAACTTTATCAAAAAGAAAAAAAGGGTTCTTATTAATCATTAAAAGTAGACACCTATTTCGATCTTCTTCCAATTAGCGACCGAATGAATAGAAAAAGAGGGGTAAAAGAAAGACTCTGGAACCCACTAAACTGAATATGAACACTATCGGATCCATACGGGGTGTTATGGGTCAAGCAAATAACGCATAGAAATAAGTGGAGATTTCACTGATTCCAGATGGGTTCTGCTGGATTAACGATATCAGATATTAAAAAAAAACACGTACACACAAATATGGTTGGAAAATAAGTTTCTATGCCTAAGATGACCAATAATAAACTATGTGTTAATTGAAAAATTATGTAATCAATTCAAAATACCACCATTCCAACACACCCAGCCAAAGAGCGTACATAATTGTCCACTACATCAGCTTCTATTCCCATAGGACCATTAGCGTCCGGACGTGCTTCTTTCATCGCTTCCTACAAACGACAAAGATATTTGTCTTCACCAAGCTGTTGGAAGCATCTATCAGAGTCACAAACACATTTCACCGTTTCAGAAATATAAGAAGTATTACCTTTATACTATCTGTATTGTACCGTTTATAAGTGTTAATAATTTCACGAAGTGGCCTCGCTTTAACAAACTGTACAAATCCTTCGTTTACGCCAGTTGACAGTACCTTAGAAACTTGTACTTTCATTTGGATTACTTAATCTTGAATGTCTCATGTAGTCCCTTGGCATGAAAGTAAAAGAAACAACTAAGTTCGATCGCTCGATGGATGAGCTCTTAACTTTTAGTGGATATTGTTGCTAAAACAGAAATTCATTGCGACTAATAACTTACAGCATATGGAGTTAATTTCAAATCAAGTTGATCTTTTTTGAAAAGACTATCCATTAGACGGAACATCTGTATGACCAGTTGATCTTGCCTTTAACATAGAAAAATTTGATTTGGAGGCAAAATTATTTGGAATAAGATCCACAATAGTTTGACTATGTCACGAATATCACTACAAAGAAAAAGGTTCAAGAACTGATAGAATTGATATAAGAGCTCACTAAGGAAAAAAAACGAACCTCAGGTCATCGCCCTGCTTGAAGATAAGTGTGTATTCCTTATTCGCATCTGAACCAGTTATCGTTCGAAATGTGAGCTTAACGGGCATCATAGCACTATTAAAAAGCACTGCGGAGTCGGGCATTACACTAGCCAGCCTACAACAAATATTTCCTTGAATTTCATACTTTGAAAACATTTATTACTTTTCTTGCAATTTTAAGAAAAATGAATTGCATTCACTCGCCTCACACTAGGATCTAGGGGTAGATGAAGACCGCGTAATTCTTTCATATGTCGGGCGTTCGCTAGTAGTGTACAAAGTGCTGACTGACGGAGATCGCGACGACTATGTTTGCTTTTTGCTTCATTCATCAGATTCTTCAGATCTTCGACAAATTGCTAGAGATACGCAAATCTTTGGAATGAAATATGCAAGCATGTTCTAAATGCTCAACACACAATTCATCGAGCGCATTGGTTTCAATGCATATTCTTCGTCTGGTTGCGTATTCATAGTTTAGCAGCAATGGGTTCATTTGACATCATTTTTGTATTCTTCAGTCGATAGTTTATTAAACAATAATGTTGTACTAAACGAGGTCTGTGAACGATATTATCTACACTTGGTAATTTACAACAGACTCCTTTTGGAATAAATTTCAAACGCACACAAGATATGGCAAAAGAGTAGTCGTACCCCAAGTGACTGCTAAAAAAATTGTAGTAGTTCAGTCAAACGATTTTGTGTTTCATTAGCATTGATTAAGTTCACAACTAATAACAGGTATACTACAAATCGAACTAAATACTCAAAGAAAGCCTAGTCTAGAGCGCGATAGAGAACTGAGAAAGTTGCATCGCATGAACTACATCAATACACTTTTAAAGAAAAGATGTTTAAAATCTTAGAAGACGTAGGACAATAACTGCCCTCTTATCTGACCAGATAGCATTTATAATTAAAGTTTTTTGGTTAGAAAAGGAGAGGAGATCAATTTAGGGGTTCCCGACCGAATTAAAAGGATGACAGCAACAAATACCCACTCTCTGCATTCTCAAACTTTCTGCTTGGTGTTTCATCTCGGGTGTACCGCGCTGCAACGTTTGAAGGAGTCGATTAAGAAGCCGTTCATAAACCTTAATACGAAAGCTTAAAATAAATTTAAAAGTCGAACGCATATTAACTAAAATCAGGACTTTAAATCGTATGTAGTTGGAAAAAAAACAAGTTGAAAATAGTGACACAAGAACACTCATGGGTCGTTCTTGAAAAAAAATTCATTAAGAGGGAAAAGCAGTGATATTTGGCGTTAACCTTTTTTATTTTCTGCCTACTATAATTTTTCATGGCAAGATATGACGTGATTTACAACCACAACGATGCTGAGATATTCGCAAAACTTGGAAACTGGGCCAGATCGAACCACGATTTCTATTACACACTGCACCAAAGGCCATTGCTTCGGTGTTTCTCTTAGCTAGTTTTCCACAACATTTCGAGGAAAAAAATAACACAAATTTTGAAACTGCGCGATACTCACCGATGATAAAGCTTCATCAGTTTTACGAGTAGCCTCCGCCTCGACTTTCAAGTGCCAGAATAAGAAATTTGCGACTTTCGGATAACCAGTAGCATATCTGGATGAAGCGTTTACGAACAAGAAGTTGTGATCAGAATTCATTAAATCGTCGGTCTGCAGAGTTGCAAATCTACAGTAAACCTCTATCTACATCTTAAGCAGGTCACACTTTGAAGTAGTGACTGGGGATATAAAGAACTTAAAACTTATAGACAAGAAAAGGATATATGCAAGTTTAATTGGAACACACTTCACTAAAAATGACGCTAGATCATCATTGCTGCGACCTGAAAGATCGTCTTCCTCCAATACCACCACTTCTGTCGCCTCAGTCGCCTGCGAATTAGAACACGATTCCATCTGAACTACCATGCTACGAACAAAAAAACTGAAACGAATTAAACATAAGATTTTAAATTTCAGTTAAAAGTAGTTAATGTCTTCTATCAAGGGGCTGAGAGCACAATACCAGTGATACCGATCATCGCAAGCACGTAACTCCGGGCGCACCAGGCTTCTTAACCCTTCGGGGTCAGGAGATTGGTGCCGGACTCGTCAAAAAAAGATTGTTCTCTGCAATCTAAATGGCAGCACTCTGGTCCGACTATCTCAGAACTTCAAGGGAAAACCACTCGACCAATACTCAACGACATTCAAGATGAAATGAAAGGCAGCAGCCAAAACAATATGTAAAAGTTGGAAGACCTTCGTCGATGATGAATGCGAAGAATCGACGGCAAGAAGTGTTGCAATCCTCGCAGTAGATGTGAAAGACGGGTCGTATAAAAAAAAATGAACGTCTTCTAGAATGATACAACTAGGTTCAACCCCCTTTCAGAGAAGTATTTTATTTATTGCTCTACCATCTTCTAGCAGATCCTCCCAGGATAAAAACGAATTCAACATTTTCAACCTGAACTTAACCTCACAGCAAACAAGTGCCGATAATCACTGCATCCTGGTGAAAATATAACCATTGGGTAATAACTGAAAGTTCTATGAGTAAGCCCAACATGGATTTACCGATTCTAAAAAAACGAAGCCGTGCCTAGATAGCAAATTACCACTTTAAAAAATTATGCTGGACTTGCACGTTTCTGCAAGATTTGTGAAAAAGGGTCTTTCAGATACCAGCTATTAAGGTGACTTAATCATCCATTAATGAATTTCGCTCTTCAACTTTCTTACTGCTTCGATTTCTTCAAACTTCTATTTTGCTTTCTCATTCCCGTTTAACAAAAATTTAATACGGTGGAAAAAGAGCTGTAATAATTTTTAAATCTTGCCACCTATTTTTAGACGGCAGGCGTCTACCTAGTCCTCGAGCGGTCAGTCATTTTTCACCCATGCTTTCGTTCTGCGATTTTGGTTTTATTATAGTCACCGAATGCTATTAGGAAGACCAAGAGAAGGAATCGTTGCCAAAAAGTGCTTCCCTCGTATCCACATCGTTATGAAGGCCTTGACACACTTTTGCAAGGTTAGGTCTAAAATCCAGATAATATCAAATTGCGCAGCCAACAACAGGCCAGTCTCAGTACCTCGCCACTGGGTGCTCCTGTCTATGACGTCAGGCGGTGAGAGACCACAAAATCCTGGGTTACGCAGGATATTACCGGAACCAGATCTGACGAACACACGCATGACACGCCATGGAGAATTTTTTACTATATAACGCCGCAATAATCTCCTCAGACACCGATATTCACAGCCCTAAACAACAAAATCCCTGCCATCCGCGGAGAAAAGAGCTCGCCACGAAATGTCGGTGGTGCAGGCTCTGTTGTCCACCCATCCATTGTCCATCTCGACTCGTACAATATCCTCTCCCCTCGCATTGCCGTCCCCCGTCTTCAGCTGATGTGCTATAAGAAAAACACTATCATAAGTTGCTACTAGTCGACCGGTACACCTAATGAGTACGAATTAGACGCGTTCTACTATCGGTAGGAAGAAGTTATCCGCAACGATAAAGCACATTATTAACTTTTTGTTGGGGACTTCAACGTGAGAATAGGAAAAGTCAACGAGAGTGAATACAAGGTCGGAAAATTTGGATTAGGAGAACAAATGAGAAAGGAAACCATCGTGCAATAACCCTGTCTGCGGCACACCCTCCTTGGAAAATCGTTTTTCTAGAAGAAAAAAACCGCCACTGGAGATGGGATGGGAGTATCCCGATGGCACGATTCACGAGATATTCTGACAAACAGAAGATGGTCTAGCTGACACATCGGTAGTCCCATCATTTTGCATTAGGTTCGACCACCACTTTCTTTGCGCGAAGATTCGATTCAGCCGCAAGCTGGAAAGGAAATCATGTCATCAGCCACGAGAAGAAAATCCAGCTGTATATGGTGAGAACATTATGAACAAAACCCTATCCAAACGTGGCTGCCAAATTAAGGAAGAAGCGACCAAAGACTACGAGCTGCTTGTCGAAGGACTTGGAAGGTTTGCAGAATTCTCCTCAGCTCCTCAGGGAAGAAGACCAGATCGAATCTCCATGACCACTAAGCAGTTGCTCAAGAAGAGAAGGAAATTCAAGCCTGATGCTACTGCAACACGTTTAACATGGCCAGTAACAAATGCAAGTTACAGAAGAGCTTTCCAGGAAGATATACATTGGTGTGGGCAGCAGAAACTACTAGAAACAGCAGAGAAAAGAAAGAGTCCGAAAAATGTTACCGCCACTGGTGGTGTGGAAGACGTCGCGCACTGTCAACTTGCCCAAGAAGGGTGACAGAAGGGATCTTCTCAACTCTTGTTCGACATACTTGTTGAGTGTGCTATACAAGTTCTTCACAAAGATTATCCATTCACGCGTAACAAGGACATTGAATTAGGCGCAATCAGTTAAGCAAGCATGATTTCGACAAAGATTTTGCTGCATGAACTACTTTTAAACTGTGTCCATATTTACTGAAGTCTTTCGGGAACACCACCTACCTCTAGTCCCAACTTTTCTCGACTACGAAAAGCGCATTGTGTCGAAACGAATGCAGTCCTACCAGCGCTCGTTCACCAAAGAGTGGACCGAAAGTACAGGCTTTCCATCACACCACATTGCCAAAGCTATTTAGTGTCGCACTTTAGTGGACAACGAGTTCACTTAGTAGGAATGAGAAAGACATACGTACTGATGGAAATTTCTTGTCAAACCTTCGTTTCGCCAACGACATCGTCAACTTCTCAAGCACCAGCGATGCACAGACTATGATCAATGGGCTCAGCGAAGCGGAAAAAAAGATCAGACTATGCATAAATCGGAAGGAGACCCAGTTCATGAAAAACCCAGATTGCAAAGGCGAAAAAATCGAACTGGATGGCTCTCCGATTGCAGAGATCACCTACGTATACCATGGGCGATAAACGAACATGGAAACAACATGAAGCAGGAACCAGGTAGAGCAGGCTGGGTCGTACGCTGGCACTGAGCTTTTCGAATGAACGGTTTCCCGCTATGTTATATAAAGGAGACATGGGCTGATATTTCAGTTACGTCAAGAATACTGGCCATCACTCACTGAAAACTTGAACGATGTCTACTGAAATATTGTCACCACGCACAAAACCTAGTCGAAATGGTCACCTGGGATCCTCCAAGAGCAACCCATTTCCGAGATATAGGGAAAGTAACAACCAAATAAAAACACAGATGGGCCGATCAAACAAAGATGAGAGTTGACGAAAGGTGGGTGAAAATAATCATAGTGTGGAGTCCACGTGGAAGCACGGGCTCCCTAAAACGCCATCTTCATACTGGGCGGAACTATTTGTAATTAAAAACAGTCAGCTCTAATGATGCTGAGATATTTGCAAAAATCCAGATTGCAGGTGTCTGCGGTGGAGAATGAACGCGCCATTGTCCTTCCCGGGGAGTAACGAGTTCATCACCACACCAGCGGTCCTTCGTTTCGCCTGCCTCTCAGCTACTTGTAACGATCCCTGCCATCAGTAATCACCCGTCAGTGGGATCATTAGAGTTAAATTTCCTAATATACCTTGCCGTTAAAAAGAGTAGGCAGTAAACAAGTTAAAATTGTGATGATAACCGCAGTTTGTTTAACTGGGGTCGTTGCCGATTTGGGCTCCCCAGATCAATCCCGGTGACGGGTGATTGCTGATGAGAGTGATCGATAAAACTAGCTAAGAGGCAGGCGAAACGAAGGACCCGCATGGTGTGGTGGTGAACGCGATACTCCCCGGGAAGGACAATAGCGTGTTCGTTCCCCACCGCAGACAGCTGCAATTCGGATTTGTGCAAATATCCCAGCATCATTAGTGTTATACTTCGCAATATACGCTGCCATAAAAAAAGAGTAGGTAGTAAATAATAAGTTAAAGCTCTTCTCTAACCAGCTGATAGTCAAGGAAAATATTTTACTTTACTATTTTATAAATGCATCGTTTCTTTGTTCAGCAATCGCGAGGTTGTTATACAGTATACAGTTACTTAACATCGATAGCAATAATTTCTCGTTAACTAGGGTATCATCTGTATCACCTGTAGTGCCATTGATCGTCGAGTGACTCGAGCGGGCGCCAGTAAATCTTCCATCTTTCCCTATCGCGTGCAAGAGTGGCTCAGTGGGTTATACTCGCTCTAAGGACTCGTCAAGCATCATATCTTTCTTCTAAGCTCTTCGTGAAGAACTACGACCATTGGGTCGGTGGTATTACCGCAGTAAGTTTGACATCCCAAGGAATCAAGTCACTGGCTCCTTTTGTCCATCGGTTGCCATTCATACGCACTACGTGTCCGGCACACCTTATCTTCGACTGTTCGTCGTACAGAACAGCATCTTTGATTTTTGATCGTTGACGCCGGTCGGAGCTTCGGGACCTATCTCTTACTTGTGTGAAACAGGTTACTACTAGCATCCTCCTTTCGACTGCGCGTTCGATAACGTTAAGTGATCTTTCATCCTGCTTACGCAGCAACCGGGTTTCTGACGAATACGTTAAGGCACGAAGTACCGTTGAGTCGAAAAGGTGGTCATGGAATCGTGTTCTTTGTCCTCTTCATTACATCCTAAACGCTCTTGAAAGCTCCCCAGGTCGCTCGTTTCCTTTTGCTTAGCTCTGAAGCTAAGTCGTTTATCAAAATGATTTACCGACCTAGATAGATATAACTGGAGCATTCGGCGATATTCGTTCCATTGAGCGTGAATGGGGCATGCGAAACCAATCCGTTCTTCATGAACATCATTTTTGTGAGATTTAGGCGAAGACCAATCCTTCCACAGGCTTTATCAAAGTCGTCAAGCATACGTTTTGCTTGGCTAATGTTTGGTGTTAAAAGGACGATGACGTCAGCAAAGCGAAGATGACGTAACTGCTGACCATTGATTTTCACTTCCATATTAACCCATTCCAATGTTCGCATGACGTTCTGGAGGGTGGCGGTAAATAATTTTGGCGACATGCTATTGCCTCGCCTAAATCATCTTCTGACGTCGTTGTTAATATCGTTGTAGAATGGTGATATCTTGGCTGTGAGATTCCTGTACAGCTCACGAAGAATCTTTATGTACTGAGTAAGGACTCCTTGACTACGAAAGGCTTCCATAACTACTTCTATCTCAATTGAATCAAAGGCCTTCTCTAAATCGATGAAAGTGAGACAGAGTGGTCTTTTGTACTCTTATGATACTTCAATGAGCTGTGTTACCGTGTGGATGCGGTCCATCTCACTAAATCCCCTTGAAGCCCTGCTTGCTCACGTGGCTGTCCTCCGTCTAGTGTTCTGTAAGTGTTCAGGATGACTCAAGTGGAAAGTTTGTAGACGACGGACAGCAAGCGGATTGGGCGATAGTTGCCGATATCGTGTACGTCAACTTTCTTGAACAATAACGCGGTCTTGCTGATCCTCCACTGAGTAGGAACCTTGCACTAAGACAGGTAACATGTGAAGAGCCGAGCCAGTGTGTTCATGAGGACTTACGGAAGGTTCTTCAGGTGCTCTGGTCTTATCCTGTCCGGACTTGGTGCTGTTGGATTTTTCACTGGTGAAATGGGATGGAAGGAAGAACCGGTAGTACAACATATCCATCCTCCTTTATTTCATATGACGGAAGGTGGACGTGGCTATCGAAGAGACCTGAGTATTATACGTGAATGATTTTCTCCATTGCCTTTCTGGATGGGCTACCGTCTGGGCGTCGGAGTGCAATTATCTTGGTCTTGTAGGTGACGAAGCTTCGGTGGGATTTGCGAATGTTTTCCAAGCCTCTACAGCGTCGACCATTACTGCCGCTCTTCTCTCTTTAAGATCTTCTTTTATCGCTTGTCTGCATTGTTTTGTAAGTTCGGACGTTAGTTCGCGGTTTCCTGCACGTCGCGCGATTCAACGCTGGAGTATCAGCTCGAGTTTTCTGAAGAGAGACATCTCTTGGTGACTTTCGAACTTTCAGCTTTCATAGCGCTAAAGTGAAGACGGTGAATGAGCCGATCGTATTCTTCGTCCATTTTATCGACAACAGTATTTTCCCAACAACCGACTAATGAACTGAATAAGTCCCAATTTACGGTGGTTCTAGCACTTCGGTTTTCGAATTTATTGGCTTTTTCTTCTTTCCGCGAGAAATAGAATCTTACACGAAGGAGACGCTGGTATGATCTCGTGTAGAATTTTGGGACAACAGCAAAAACGGTTAGGCAAAACCTTCTATTTACTGTGATGTGGTATATTTCGTTATGGTACTCTCCATTAGGGAACTCCAACGTCCAGCGCTGAGGGTGGGGCATCTGAAAGTGAGAGTTACCATAAATGGTCTTGGTCACGGTGATAAACTCAGACAGTCGCTCACCCTGTTGGTTCTGTTGTAATCCATGGGTCCCAATGTGGCGTTCTTCAGACGTTTTTCTTGGTCTAATCTTGGCGTTGAAATCTCTAATGATGACGTTGAAGATTGTGTGGTCTTCTCTGTAGAACATCTCCAAGTCGATATAGAATGCTTCAACTTCTCCTTCGTTATTGCTTGTTGTGCGTAGAGCGGGAGATGCAGGCACAAACGATGTACTGGACAACATCATCGTCCTACTGAACGAAATTCCGACTTTTCATTTGCTTCTGTGTTTGAAATGAGAGCTACGGAGCAATAAACTGTAAGAAGTATAAACCATGGGAAAGTTGATCTAGAAAAATAAGTCGTGATTTCATCTTAGTAGTATGAGATAACATGTCTCTGGTGGGCTAAGATTTGTGGATCGCAATGGTTTTTATCGCAACTAGTAAAATTTAGTATTAGTTACGATACGATGGTTTAAAGTTGAAAGCAACCATTGTTTTGGAATCAATCGCATTGTATGCAATGCCGCTCGGTTGTTAGGTGTTAACTCGCAATGGTAGCACCTCAATTCCATAGCTGATTCTGATTTCCTTGAACATGCATGATACACATATTGTTTAAGTCGGACGGATAGAGGTCTTGATGTCATTACATTCAAGCACAACCCACATTGATTCTTCTTCGGATGTGAATTTACTATCAAGCGATTTTCCCTAGGTTAACAATAAATGTACCATTTCGATAAACAGATATCATATGCATATCTCAGTGCATTACGTCGCATCTTTTTTTCGAATAAGTTATCGAACAACAAAAAAATGGAGCTAATATACCTGCTCAACAATGGCAGCATCGGTCGTAGGTAGCGGCTCATATTTGAGTGCCTGCACCAGCTGGGGCAAGTAAAGCAATACCTGCTCAGGAGAGGCAGCATCAAATAATCTTGAAACTGCATAGCATCTAAATAATAGTGATAGAAAGACATCCCCACAGGTTTGTTTAAATGGGTAATGAAATAAATCTCGCACCTGATATCTGGGTGAGTAAACGCTGGTGACAAAAGTTCCAATGCATCTTCTGCTTCTATAGGAGTCCAATCACTAAAGGTATAGGGCTAGTAAACAGATTAGGTACTCCTAAAGAAATATAAAAACGTAAAATAACCAAGTTATTGTGTCAACTAGTTGCACTGCAAAATGTAGATTTCTAGTAGATGGAAACTGTTGTTGTTTGGAAACACTAAATGTGCTGCCCTTATACTTTTGCTGAATACTTTGCTTTAAGAATAAACAATAACTATGACAGCAAATTCGATATGTCTCTATAATCATTTAATAATAGACAATCAGTTTCGTACTTTATTGGAAACTCGAAAAATGATGCCTAAAAGTAACATACTTGAGTAACGCCAGGGCGTGTTGTTCTTCAGTGGGTTGTTCCCAATTTACTGAACGTAGAAATTTGTTGAGCGCTCGATGATCAGCTTGTAGAAAGTAGCGAAATTTCCACACAAGATCTCGTTGCTCACGGCTAAGCGATTGTGAAGATGGTAACTGAAGATGTTACATGCACTTAAAAGACAAAGGATGAAAAGGAAAGAAAGCGTAAAGTGTTACAAGCACTTTTACCAGATAAATAGGAGAACAATTATGCATCAAATTTTGAAATGCTAAAACAAAATAATTGTTGAAGATCTAAGCACCTTTATAATTGCCTCTAGCCGATCCTTTGTTTGTTTATTTGGCTTTAGCTGCTTGTCCATAGCACCGGCTCTTGCGTTTCTAGTCATTACGTTGTGCTTAGTTTCAGCCAGGTTCTCCAAGCCTAGTTCAGGATCAAAACTTCGTGACAACGTTGTTCCAACACAACCGCCACCCACCGATGCAACGATTCTTAACTAGAGTAAGACGAAAAATGATTTCTTAAATCCACACCTCCACAAAAATTCTCAATATTGACGGCTACTTGTTTGGTTTAGGAGAATTTTCGGATAACCTCTAAATCCAGTTTAAATTACTCATATTATTTAAGTAATGTGGTGTGAAGGCTTTGTACACTTCCCCGCACTATTAAAGCAGCAACAAGAGGTGTGCTGAGCCATCAACCTACCCCGTAGAGATCCCTCATTTAAGAAATCTCGATGAAATTAGCTTGGAGTACGTATCTCCTCATCCATGGACGGAGAGGATATTAAACGGGGATCACAAACGACTACGAATGTATTTGTCAAGAAGAGAAGATGGGCTCAAGCAATGGACTCCACTGCTACTGCGTTCAAGTGAACTAAAGCTTTTGTCTACATGTTGTTACTACACATTCACGCATACGCCCACAAAAGTGCTCGAATGTATGCGGATTCATCGTTTAATGTCGATGGTACCTAAAGTTTACAAATAATAAGATAGAGAAAGTGTTCAAAAATATCCATACGTTTACTTTGCGACGTCCTGGAGACCACCCTTGACTTACCCACTCGTTGAAAAAATTGGGGAAAAAAGTGGAAGGAGACAAAAATTTTCGCGCAAAAGTGCTCTTCGCACTCATCATCGAATAAGGAGTGCACTATATAGCCAAGGTGTGCGATATAGAGAAATTCTTAGTTAAACTGTAGTTAGTTATTTTTCAAACTTAGATCTTCTAGCCGTTTCGTCACATCCTTTTGAAAACTAGGAAAAAAACAGGAAAAAGGAAAACATTGCTCTTACGTCAGGAGTTGGATCTTCGTAATAAACCACATCATAGTGCTGACGGTCGTACTGAATAGATGCCATTTTAACGACGAGAAATAAATAGCGTTGAGTTGAAGCAAATTTGCGCTATAAAATTAAACCCTATTACGAAAATCTCTACATGAACGAAATTTGATCCAATGAAATAGGAAAATCGCAGTCTTACTCCCTTACAAAACCTTTTCAAAAACCAAAAGCCAGAGTTTGGTTTGCAAAAGTTAACTGACACTGTTTCGAATTTCTTCCACCTTCCTGAAAGTGAAGGGATCCAACCAAGGCACCTCATTAACTAAATTACGTTGTTGGCGAGAGACCTAAAATGATCTTGCAGTTAGGATAACATTCTTTCGACGCAGACCAGCTTTTAACCTGAAAGCTGTTGTTCATACTGGACATCTATGCAGGTGAACAAGTGGAAGAGGAGCCACAATCCAGTTTTTCAAAGACAGTACATTTTTGTTCACACTGCACAATCCAACCAACACTGACAAAAACAGAAATCTTACCTGTTTCAGCAGTTCGTTTAAGTGACTATCGTTTGGATCTGCCAACTTCCAATCTTCAACGCAACGATGAAGTGGGTCCAGTTCATCCGAGAGTTCCATCTAAAACATTTTTCCATTCCTCCTTACACAGCACTTCATTAAAACTCAAATTTGTCGCCTTAAACATACTCTTATATGCAAAGTTATTTGCCTTCTACAAACAAATATTTGATACGTAAATAACCAAGCCCTAAGCAGATTTTTACTTTTGATTACGACAAAAAACTCGTGTTGCATAAAAAAAACCTTATTTGTCGTCTCTTTCGTATACTTCACTATAACTACCAAAGGAAAATTATAAAGAATTACTCAAACTATGAAGCAGATCATACCTGAATATCTAGTGTACCGGACTTGAACACGCCTCGCTTACTGAACAAAGGCAATGAAGACTGAGCCACGAGGCGTTTCGGTAGAGGAGATGGAGCAGAACTAGCCAATGTTTTCTGTTTTTCATGGGAAAACAGGGATTGTGAATCGCACCCAGCTGTCAACTCCCATATCGAGAAATGTATCGTGGCATCTCGACTTAAGTCACAATATCTAAACAGTCACGTTGTTTATAGTAACTATTACTTCATACGGCACAACATAAGCGGTATCCGACATGGATTACATAAAAGACAATGGAAGAAATCTGCATTTAAAAAGCGCCGAAAGAATTCACTTCCCGGCCAAGAATCAAATTCAAATTACCAAGAATCAAAATTAGAATAATGTTTCACTAACAGATCAGATAAAAAGTTTCATTTTTTTTCGATCGATATTCAAGGAGAAAACGATCACATACCTTACTGGCAATGTCAACCACTCGCTCCATGACTGGATGAGCTTATTACGTGTGCGATCCCCATCTTCAGGTGGTGGCTTATACGAAGTCATTACTGAATAACCCACTGCTCTTGCATTACAGTACACCTGAACCATAAGAATAAGCAAACACTTCAACTGCATTTCCTATAACGTCCTGCTATGAAAGAAGAATAGGCAGCCAATAGACGTTAAAATGTTGTTATTTCAAAAGCAATTTCAACATAACCGAGCCAATGACGTTTCTTACGCCCTAAATCATTCCCTTTCATGGGTAGTTGATGATAGCATTATTATAGTGGAAAACTGGCGGCGAGACAACCAAGGCAAGCACCTCGACTGGTGTGGTGAATAGCCCGTGAGCACTCGGAAAAGGTAATCGTGGGTTCGAAACTCAACTGAGGTTCGGAGTTTTGCTCACATCTCAGCATGATTGTGGCTGTATTCCACATTACACCATGGCATGAAAAAATAATAAGCAGTAAATAAAAGTTAAAAATTTCGACACTAAATTATTAAAACGGTTATTTTTCCTCGTTGCTAAACCGTCGTCGATATTGCCTTCTTTAGCACCGTTTTTGAAAATTACACAACAAACGAAAACAGCTCGTCAAGGTCAGTTCGTAAGAACGAAATAACTTGCTTACCTCATTATTACTTAGCAATGCTCTTAGAAAAACTACGAGTACTTCATTTAAGGGCACCATACCCTATAAATTCCTACCTTAATTATAAGGAAACAACATCTAACAGTAACAATGAGATGATCTATTCGGTACTTTGATGATCACGAGGTAGCCTGCGCTACTTTGCAAATGGGTGCTATTAAGGAGGAAAACAGCCCCGGCAATCGCGCAAATTACAGAAAGCAATTTTTCCTTAGAACCTACAGCATTTGAATGCTGGCACTGCACTAAATAAAGCTCATGCGACTACCTTACCGTTGCCTGAGCACAGAGTTGGTGAAGTTTCCGAATCGGGTTATGAGGGTCGCGATACTTGCCTTCAAAGTCACATATTTTCACCTAAACGATACATTACAATCCAATAAAAATAAGGGACCAAAAAACCTCATTGCTTCAATAATACATTCATGATGATGCGCAAGTGTTTCAAAGCCCATTTTGGGCAACGAGGACGACGTGCATTAATTTCATTGCACACCTCACATAACGAAACCTCACCCAACCACGAGAACGCCTCAAAAGGCTAGAAAAGTAGTTTTACAAACGAAAGAATACCTGTAAATTAGCAGTCAAATCACAGCTATAAATATAATGGAATGAGTCTGACAATGTAGCGGTACGCATTCGAGCATGAAGCCTGAAAACTCCGTCTCGGACTAATAACCTTTGCATTCAAGGATTTTCGGTTCTACAGCTGGAATTTGTAAGTATGGAACATTGCCCTTACGGCTGCTCCTACCTATGTAATCATCGATGGTTTTAGGAAACGAATCACAACCCAACACATGAACAAAACCGAATTAAAAATTCCGCAACCACAGCATTTGCGTAAATCATCGTTATATACCAATTCCTCACTCAATGATAGTTCCCACTACGTATGGTGGATGATATAGGACTATGGAGCCTACGCAATATTTGAATAAACCATAACTATAAGTGTTCTCCAAACCATAAATCTATTACGGCATTTTTTTTACTTTATTTTTATACTTTTATCTCGTTACTTTCACGCAAACCAGGTACTGTTTTGTGAAAGATAGTGTTTAGAAATTATTCGGCTATTAAAAACGAAATAAGACTATGCAAAGACATCTGAGCAAAACAACGACATGGTAAATGGTACACGGAAGATTTATTAAGGCTACAACCTTGTACATAAAGGTAACCAATTACAGAGAGCCTATAGAAATCTAGCATTCACGCGAAACTAAAAGACATGACCTCCTGTTACAGCATATGAGTTAAGGACTCTCAGGAACATTATCAAACGTGAAAATATGTACACAGTTATAAGACAGCAATGAATGATAAGAATAAGGATTCACTGCTCATCATGTTTCCTCTTTTTAGACCTTCTCATCTCTCGAGACTGAAAATCATGGAAGTAGAGAAGGTTAAGTGATATAAACATATACGAAAACCGAATATAAGTGGAAATGCACTCACTGCTTCATCATCAACGGTATCGTTTCTCGTCAGTGTTGGAGTTAAAGGAGCTCCCGACGATGTTATTGTTGATGGAGGTTGCTGTGCGTGTTTTATTGCAGCCGGAGATGTTGTTGAAGAGTACGAGAATAGCCGATCAGCATCTTTGTCATATTTTCGCGACAGTGTTTTCTTTTCCAGTTTTACACCTGATTTTGATGGAGGCATTGCTAAAGCGTAGCGATCCCATCCTAAAAGGCAATTTAGTTAATCTAGTGATTAAATCAAAGGATAAAATAAAAGGTAAAGTTTCGCCGTTGGTCAATCCCTGAGTGATGCGCCTTGCATCCGACTTCATTAAGCATCGCTAGAGGTGACTGAGTGCACATATGAGCTATGCAATGACACGCGGTGGCTTACCGATGTAATGAATCAGTGCTGCTATCTTCTCAAACAGGTCTGGTACCATTTGCCAACTCGAGAGGGAAGGAAGACTTAGTGAGCTGAGGGTGTAGGGATCGAACCCATGTGCACGCAGGACGCCTCCGACCACAGCGCCACACGAGCCCACCAAAATGGTTTAACCATATTATGAAATACAGCACTTTTGTAAAAGTACTGATTAAATTGTTGCTGAACATATTTTCAACAATGCCTACTGATTTCAATACACAGTGACAGTTTCTAAGTTGAAATAAACACATTATAAGTGAGGTGGTTCATACTAACCACAATAAAGCTGTTATCTTATTACCGTGAAATATGGCTCTTTAGTGCCCGCAAGTCGTACATTCTCTAAAATTTCCTTGATACAGGATTTTTCTTCGAGCTGAACAGCATCGCATGCACTAGGATACTATCGCGTGTTAAAATTTTTAAAGTTTTGAAAACGTTTCTCACTTTTCTTTTTTGAAAATCTGAACTCTGAACGAATCCAAAGCTGACAGATGCTTCAACAGAAACAACTACGCCGTTACTGCGATGGGTCGAACTAGACATTAGGCAAGCTATCAACACAAAGTGGTCTAAACTTATTTGTAACTGTAGAAGAATTCGTACTATCCCGAATGTACTAAACAGTGAAAACATAGGCAGTACTTATTTCTGCAACTTGTACACAAAATTGGATCCTGTCTCCACTGGTGGTGCGGGCCTCAGTATAATTTACATTTTTTCGGAGTTTTGCTGGTTTAGCCATTGTCGTTCTCTGGAGACCAGAGGTCATCCTGGCCAAAATCTGCCCCATGTCTTCACCACCAAACTGTTGCAGCCCTTGTGGATCAGGAGGAGATTTGCCACCATGGGACTAGTTTGATACCAGGACGGTGGTGGATCCTCGTATTGGTTTACTCTTAGCTAGGCTTCGTGATGGAGACGCCGGACTCCTTCTCAGCATGAAAGGCCCTCCTGGGGGGTGAATCCCACTGTTGTCCATCGCACTCCGACACCCATGAACACCTTCCAGTTATGATGAGGCGGTAAACCGTTAGGAGGGGTATACAACATTGGAACTAAATTCCAACAGCGGTTTTCTAAACTCGTAAGACTTGCATTTATCTGATTCAGCGAATGAACTTGTGAAACGACTCCACTTAAAACACTTTACCTTTTATGACATTTCCATATTCTGCTGTTTCTTCAAGATATGACCCCTCAAAGTTGTAAATTTGATTCTCCAACGCCTCCAAAGTTTCCTGTAAAAAGCCCACCCACGTAAGTTGCGACACCCACACATCTTTGTACCGATGAACAGTAAACACTGCTTACAGCTATTTCGGCACGTTTCTTTATGAGCTCGTTCAGTTCCCGCTTTAGATCATGTTCCTTAGACATCTAAAAGAGACACCATGAAACACTGCACGAGATGGTGTCTAAATGGGAAAAGATAACTACAATATGGTATCTATAAAGAAAAGTAGAAAGGGATATAACCGTTTCGTACGCATTATTAAAGACGGAGCGTAAAAATTTATCAGACATTCGGCATACGTAGGCAGATTTGCATATACTCGCAAGTATAAGTAGCCTAACAAACAATTTATTCTAGTGATCAGACCTCGTCTTTCTTACGCAAAGATTTCTTACAGACTTCAAACCGGATCATCCACATAGCAAGAAAGCCAATCCTGTGTATAAAAAAAGGGAAAAGCTCGGAACCAATAAACGGGTGGTCCTCTACTTCGAATTGCAGACGAAATTATAGCAACTCAATCAATAACCGAAATAGACTGATAATTAAAATTTACACTCTTTTGGAAACATAACGGTAGACCAAAAGAACAGGAAGATTCTATCTGCAAACAAGGAATTCCTACTCCTTGTTACGTGTTGTGATCGCGACTAGAACTTTTTCTGCTTGTTCGATCCACCCATTCATGGCGGCAATTGATAACGAAGAATCTTCTTGTCGTTCACATGGCTTCACGTAAAGAATATTGTCTATCTCATCGATCCTTGCCGGAAGACCTAAATTCAACTCAACTAGAGAGATGGAGGAGTAAAATGTTCGGTTATTGAAAATAACGATGAATATCGCACTACAAAAATTGTACACTGAGTAAAAGTACGTACCTTCGTCAAGAATGGTGTCGACAAGTAATCTTTTCACTTCTGCTATAGAGATACGCAATTTTTGGGAAAGATACTGGAGCCGTATCCTAGTGTACGGTTTGATCAGTCGTAGCAACACCTGCAAGTAGTCACGAGCAATATCACGATTATGCCTCTGCAATGTTATGAAACATATAGAACTTAACATTCACAGTTAAAATAGTACGTCCAACTAACAAGCACACTACCGAAGCTCTTTGGCAAGCTAATAGTAAGGTAAGTGTTAACCTGAGTCCGTATATTCGTCAATAGCTCTTCGATATGCTCACGAATAAAAGGATCTTGCATCACGCTCTCATGATTGTTTTCTAGTATCCGTTGAAATTCGTCGATGTCGTTCTCCTGGTATGCTGCCACCATAGCTGTCATCGCGACGATTTCTTGCTCATTCTTAAATAAGAGAAAAAGAACATAGTAAGACAACTTGATACATAGTAAGTGTAGAACCAAGTATTAAAAATAATTAAAACTCCCCAATCAGAATTTCGCTACCTAGAAAATCGAGCATACCTTGAAAGGCTTTGCTTCTTGGCTGTCGAACGGATTAATGTCGGATCTTATCAGCATATTTGCCAATACAAGGTATTTTAGACAAGTAATACGTCTTGGAGATCCACTTTCATCGTAATTCTTGAATGCTTCGAAAAAATCTGTGTGGGCACGGTCAAATTGTCCCTCTCGAAGGTGCATCTTGCCGCCACACTCTGATATGAGAAAAACATGCCATTTTAAAAAATACAGCAGCGATAAAACGATTCATCGTAGTAAACAAGGTATGCCTCCCAACTGTTCACCGCTTCATAGTGGCAGGGAGCCCAACCAACGACCAATACAACATCTGTTTTCTACAACTATCAACTCATGACAAAAGGTGCCAGAAAATAGTTACATGTGTTAAAGTAAATCACCGGAAAGAAAATGATACCCCCAGGTCTTTAGCCAATCGCACAAAATCATTATGACACCTATATGTGGCACTCATCGCCAGAGTGTTAAAAATAAGATGAATAAGCTGTAAAGCTCACGAATGTTCCAACGAAAAATGTACCTCGAATGACTCCTAATATTAGGGGATGAGGAATAGCCGACTTCGACTGGATAGCCTGTTGAGCTTGCTCATATAGCTTTTTTAAGGCCTGAAATTTAGAAAATTTGATTTCACACCGAAGGAAAATCAGTTCAGAAAGACAAATCTATATGTAGAAAGCAATGACAACCTTGTTGTTTTTCTGTTCAGTGTACATCTGAATTTCGAGTGCATATATTTCTAGCAATTGGGTGCCCTTTTTCTGATCTTCTTCACCTTGCTCAGTCTAAACCAAGAAAGCCTCATCGAGTTACATCGGCAACAGTAACACTGAACTACGACATATTAAAGTTATGGAAATACTACTTTACTCGCTTCGGAATTAACATCACCACGACAACTACAAGCAACTATGATATTAACTAAGGCAAAATCATAACTAACCTTACACGAACTCTTCAGCTGCTTCAATATTTTTTCCAGTTTATGAAATTCACGCATATCAAAGTATAGCTTCCCTAGTTTGGTGTTTGTCTTGAACCACAGCCTTTCATTCTTAGCATCCTAAGAAAGGAATGATTCATGGATAGACTCTGGTGAAATGTTCAAGAAATAAAGAAGGCGAAATGAGAAACGGAAAAAAAAATAAATGATGGAAAAAACCATTTCGCTAAAAGTTGCAGGAAGCCACCATTTGTGGTTTAAAGAAGTAGTGACATAGTATAGAAAGAACGAACCTTCAAGGCATCAAGAGTGGTCTCGTAGAACTTCTGCAACAAATCCATTTGCTTTGATGTCGAAATGTAATCCAAAATGGAGTTGATAGACTTCTCGGAGTAATTTTTCGTAACAGCGGTTTTGATATATTTTAAGAGCTTCTGATAATACTGTAGCATCGCTTCGAATTGATTCTGAATAGTCGAACTATAGCAAAGACAAAACTTAAACATGAATGCATATCAATATGCATTTGGGTGCTTACTGAGTTGAACGTGATCTTCACCATCTGCTTCAGCGCTTTGAAACCCCATTCGCCCATTTCCTGCTCCAAACTGAGGACCTGAATGAGACACCTTTGCTTTCGCAACTAATCCCAGATAAAACTGATCTAATACCTATTTCTACAACTGATACTACCTTCTCAAAGTTAGCAATGGCTTCCGCAATTTTGCCTTCGCTTTTTAAACCCTTAGCTGTGTAATACTGGTTCTCCAGATCAACGTCAGGTTCACTTCCGCTGTCATCCTCGTACTCCTTGAATGGGAATTAATTCTTTAAGGTTTATCTTCGTCACAAATAACTTGGAAAAAAAATCAAATGTAATCACTATTCACCTATGACTTACGAACTAATTTCAATATTAGTTCACTCAGAGCAAGAACCGGCACCAAGAGTAGTGATAAACTTGAAATGTGTAGCACAGTGCACAGATACATAATTGTATACATAAAAACCAGCGGGTACTGTAGTCGTGGTGGCGATGTTCGGCACACACCCTACTCGTTTGTTAAATAAAACAAAGCTAACAAAAACTTACAAAGCCGTAATCTTCGTCGTCGTCCATAACGTCGTCGCTCATAACAAACAGGATTCACGCAAGATTCCGCACTTCTGAGACTCGGATGTCTAGACGAATTTTGTATAGAGGAAGCACATCAAATACCGTATACAAAGAGGGTAGAAGGATAGCCATTTGAGAGAAAAAAGGAACGGAGAAAGTAAGTGCGCTTTATAGACGCAGGACTTCAGTAACCCTGTAATTCACGCGATAGTGCCGTCAAAACACTCCCAGCGATAGATTCTGGACTTCTCATGTGGAGTGAAGGTAAGGACTACTTTAAACCATTGTGCTGGATATCCTGTTCGATCTCACGTCTCTATATGCATGTCGTTTTAGTTGGAAAAGCACACAGGTCACAATCATCTCATTAAGGGGCAATGTTACCGTTTCCCAGACTTCATCGCACATTTTTACCACGAAGACGCGGAAAACAACGGTATTTCGAAGAAATCGATTTGCCTTTTCAACAGTTACTTTGAAGAAACAATCTGGGTCAGGGCGTCAGAATAACGAACGGGACCGCTATCAGTACCCTCTCCACCCTCCAAGCCTCAAAAACGGTGAGTTCAAAAGCGACTGCACAGTGACTTTCGTCAACGAGACTTCTGGAATATAACTGTGTGGAGTTGTCTTAATATAGTACTTTACATAATAGTTGGGAAGTACGAAGACCGACATTCTTTTAACCTCGTCATCGATCAGTAACCCACTGTTTTCTCTTGTGAGCGAACATGAGGTTGGTATTGTAGCATTTAATAGTGCACAATGGCCGATGTTTTGGTGATTTCGCCTTCATCAGAGCCTCGAACGGTTAAATTGACATACAATCCACTCAGGCAAGCACTTTCATAACCTCAACAGATAGAACTTAACGATTTGTTTCATCTTTCCGGGCGCTGAAGAAGGCAGAACCGCCAAGGCGTCAGCTGCTGTGTACTAATAAATGCTATAATATCAATCTCATGCTCCCTCACAAAGGAAAATAGTGAATTATTGATCGCATGCCGACGTTAGAGAAAGCCGGTCATGGAAATGTTGCCATTCCTCAGACTTCATTGCACAGTTTCACCACGAAGGCAAAGGAGAACAACAACATTTGGAAGAAACCAATTTGCCTTTTCAACAGTTACTTTGAAGTAATAAACTACTTGTTACAAAATGCCATAATCTCTCTGTATTAACGCATATAAAAACCAACGCTACTAAGAAATTTCTCCTTTCATTAAAGGATATCAGTCGAAGTCGTTCTGATTGGAGCGCGGCGGAGAACTATAATTTTGCTGCTCTAAATCATGTATAGTTGGATACTGTTCCTTCTAGTTAATACTTCGTTTTTGAATGTTTGAACCTTTCTAGAGCATCCGAATGTCTTGCATCCCTTATAATAGAAGTGATAGGCATTGACTAGTTGCAATTCAGCGCTACTTACCGTCATGAATTATGGATTTTTACTGGATAGAAGTAGGAGCCACTTAAGATTTGTCTAAAGAATAAAGCAGTATCCTGTCTGCTGTTACTGAATAGTTTGTTATACTTGCAGCGATCTTGTTATATAATTGTACGTCAAAGGTTTATAATGAGTCCTGTTGTCATCTTTTAGGGACTCGTATCCTTTTAATCAGGGTTCATTTGACATAGATTTTGGACCACGTAGCCGAATGGTAGTTGATGTATGTCAGCTGACCGAAACGATTTTAAGATTAGTGATTATTGTTTGGACAAATCTATGTTTACTTGGAAACTTCATAGGAACTTAGGTCATGCGTCTTATCCAATGCCTTCTTTTTTCGGTCTCATTGGTTCCACTTACGAGAAATAAATACGACTATTCTGTGTAAATTAAGAAAAAATAGATGTAATTTTTCATATGTATCACTTGTAATTCCGATGAGTACGTAATGACTCACGTCGTCCGCAGTATTCTTTCATTCATGTTGTGCGCCAAATCTGCATAAGTCGCTCTTACCGTTCCAAGGGACACGAAGAATGTGCCAAACACCGAGGAGCCCTTAATTTTTACTATCTACGGCAAGGGCAAGAAACTGTGGACATATAGCTTGATGAGCTCTGTCATTTGGCGCTGGACTCACGGTGTTGGGATTTGTGTTAATTTATCGGATATGACTCCGATATATCCCCACATTTTCTAAATCGTTTGATTGCCAATTTTTACTTGTGTCGATCTTCGAGATAAAATGCGACGAAGATTTTGAACCTCTCTTGCATGAGCTAGTCTACCGCTTGAAGATTCACAAAATGATGGTACATGGCAAATATATATTCGGGACCGGGATAGCCTAGTGATTAGTGATGCCGTCGATCAGGAAGCAAAGCCGCTAGTCCAATCTTCGCACCAACGGTCTCCCCCAATCCACGTGGGACTGCTCTGGCCCTGCTGATTCACTCGACTAACATTCTACGACATTCATAAAGGAGACAAGATCCTTAAGCAGCAGGTGAAACAACACGGGGAGTGTTCGAAGACCGTTGTGGACGATGAATCCAAGGAAACAAATCGAATGCTAGAAGTACTGGGATCCATACAGCAAATTTGATGACGGGTCATGTAAAATAAAAAATTAATAGAAAATTCACGTTTACGCCCAGTTGACGACTTATGATGGGGCTGTATGGATCCTAGGTGGAGCATGGAGAGTTAAACGTAAACCAAAAGCGAATGTGTGTTTAACCTGAAATACAGGAGATGGGTTTCCTCTCTCTGGGATATAGGATTGGCGTACCTTTTCTATATATGTATTATCATAACTATTCCTATGCGTTTTACGCATTTCAGGTATTCGGATTTTTACGTCAATTCAGCAGTACTCAAGTGATAGAGAGGTAGGTATATAGGGGTAACTCTACGTCACCAACAAATCTGCTCCACACTTGCCTCAGGAGAGTTTGACAAAGCTCAGTTCCACAAAGTCTGACTTTGGCAAGTTGATCATGTATGATATCGCCAATTTTTTAAAATAAACCACCCGTCTTTCACATCTACTGTACGGATCCTAGCACTTCTTGCTTTCGATTCCTCGCATCCATCGTCCACTAAGGTCTTCCAACTTTTATGTGTGGCTTAGGCCGCTGCTTGATGGTTTTCACTTCATCTTGAATGTCGTAGGATGTTGGTCGGGTCAATTTTGCTTGGAGTCCTGAGGTAGCCGCGCTGAAGCGTTCCCACATTATTGCAGAGAGTGGTTTTTTTTCGGACAAAGTCCGGTACCGATTTCCCGACCCCAGAGGGATGAGAAGCTTGGTGAACTCGGAACATGATCGAACCACCAACGTGCTCGCCGAAATAAGTTTGTAAGACAACTGCTTCATGGAAGGGAAAAAATTGGATGCTATTCGGGACCGATAGGAAGCAGAGCACACTGCCGGAGCTGACTAACGAAAAGGACAGCCGAAAAGTTTGTTGTAGCGTGCATGTGTCTCTGAGTGATTGACGGTATTACAGTGCTTAGAGTGCAGTGTTTACGGATATAATGGTGTTCTTCGTTTGCCTAGTATTCGCTTACTTGTTAGTTGCCACTGTTGTGCGTTTTAGACGTATGTGGTCGTAAATCAGAATGTACGGCAGGTGTAACCGTGTGAGTCTGTTGACTCCATGGGAATTGACCGACTATGTCTACAACTACAGAAGTCCACTTGCCTGGCGCCAGTTTAGAGAGTGAGTAATAGAATGGCTGTTCGTATATTCACGGGTCGTTGTGAGTCACATTTAGCTTTTCCTTCCTTCGTTCCTGACTCATATTTTTCATAGAGTTTCGATATTGCGATGGGAACCATGCTTTTCTCTACCGACAGTGTTTCGACTATTATAAAGTAAACAAAAATACATCAAAACGCTTAGTTCTTAAGTTGCATTGAAATAACACTTAAGGTGTTCCAGTGGACCTAGCATTCGGGAGCATAAAGATTACTACGACATTCTTGGTGTGAAGAAGGATGCTACTCAAGAGGAAATTAAAGCTGCTTTCTATACGAAATCGAAACAGGTGTGCACGTTCTTCCTTAAAACCCGCAGTGTTATCGTCCTTATCATAAAATACAAATAGGTGCGAATATTACAGCATTTGCAAACATCTATTTAGAGCTGTCGGGAGATAAAATACTTTGGCCTAGCATTCCTCAGAAAATCCACGGCGGCATCAGTTTTATAAAAGTAATATTTACTTGGATACTGGGATGACCCCTATCCTCACTGGTTGTGCGGGTCTCAGCATAATTTCTAATTTTTCGGAGTTGCGCTGGTTTAGCCACTGTGATTTCCTGGAGTCCTGAGATCAGCATAGCCGAAGTCTGCCCCAAGTCGTCATCATCCACAGGCAGTCGCCGCCCTTGTGGAGCAGAGGGGATTTGCCATCATGCGGCTAGTTTGACACCAGGACGGTGGTGGGTCTTGCTATTGGTTTACTCTTAGCTGGACTTCTCATGGAAACGCCGGACTCCTTCTTGGCCTGGGAGGCCCAGGTAAAAGGATAAAGTTCTCGGCGTTGATCAACCCCTGAGGGTTACGCCATGCATTCAACTTCATCGAGCATCGTTGGAGGTGACTGAATGCATATTTGGCGGTCTGCTACCAATTTGGCCACCCCGGAGGAGAGCTTAGTGGGCCTGAAGGGCGGGATCAGCCTTGTGTATTGTAGAGCGCCTCCGACCACTGCGCTACAAGCGTCCCAAAGGAGACCGTGCAGGGGGATGAGACCTCAAGCTGTACGTGGGAGCCCAACACCCAAAAACACCTCTCAGCCACGATGAGGCGGTAAGCTGTTGGAAGGTATAGAAGTCATAAGATGCGAAGATAATCGGCGCTTTCTGATTTGAATAAACGTATCTCAAGTCATCGTGAATTTAATTAAGGGGTATAAGAGATCTTAGAATCTACAAATTCTTGCCTACTGTTTGAAAGTTCTCTCATTTTAGTACTGTAAGCTTCCGAGTTTCTAAAGACCGTGATACCTATTTCTTCCAGTGCATTGTTTGGAAACTTCCATTTTGTACATGAAAACAAATAATCTAGCGGGGTTTTGTCCAGCAGGATATCATGGCGTTACCCAATGTTTTGCTTATTTTTTCTGTAGCCACCATTCTGCTGGATTTTGTAGAGACATAAATTTCGTTATTAGTTTTTTGGAACTTGCAGTTCTAAGTATCTGAGGACCAACTTTGCTTTAACCTTGGCTTTGCTCAGTAATTAACTGTTTTTCTTGATTAGCAAACAGGAGATTGTTATTCGGTGGTTTTGCCTTCTTCAGAGTCTGGAAGAGTCAAATTGACATGCAGCCTACTAGGCCACGCACTTTCGCGACCTCAGCAAGCAAAATTTAATGCATAACTTTTCATCCATGTAACGAACGAAGAGCTCCTTTAAACGCTCACCGTTTTCTTCCTTGTAAGTACTTCAATAATTTCTTGGAGATCAGCCGCGCAGAATCTCACATAGTCCAGGAATGTGCCTGATTTAGGTGAAAAAGTCAATGTAGGGCACGAGGTCACGCGTAATCACAAGGCGCTCTTTTTGGTTCATTTTGGATATTTGAATCTATCCAAAGCGCTTTAAGAGTTTTACGCGTTGATATTTTAGATTCCCGCGCGGGAATAATGACTTCTATTTCGAAATCCTATCCGTGGATTCCCTGTGTCCTATACGTGCTTAGCGGAGTATTTGGTTTAACTTTGAATTTACCGACTAGGTTCTCTTTTTCTCTCGAATGTGCAGTGGTCTACTTATTTCGCCAATATATTTGTCCTAGCACGCTTTGGAAGAGATCAGATAAACCGTATCCGAATTCATGCAATGACCGTCTCTACCACTAGAGCATGTTATCCAATTATGTACTTTGCATGGACGGTCATATTGGCGGATGCGATTTTGCTGATGTCTTAGAGCGTTCAGTGTATTTCAGTCACTGTTAGCTAATTCTCTTGACCGGCATTTCTTAAGTAACGTTTTATAGACGTACTTATTTCGTCGGAAATGAAGGGCAGGATATACGGGACCTTACTGCTATCGCTGGAGTTATCGTTTGGGCGCCTAGGTTTTCCTCTAAAGCTATCCCGAGGAGTTATAGTTTTATAGTCATTGGAAATGGCTATTTGTCGCGCCAATTTCAGGCGTTCCTCCTGCTCTCTTTCCATGCACACACTGGTGGCTGTTCGAAACGTGTTTTCGACAAGCACCCTTTTCGTGTGTAAAGTGTGGGAGGAGAGATAATGAACCAGTATGTTTTTATCACTTGGCTTTCGGCACCCCTTGATCATATAGACGTTTTCGAATGAATTAATTTGAACTTTCAACATAGAGGCTAGTTTCCTTTCAGTTTTTCTTGAATGAATCCCATATACTTTGACTGTTCGTTCCAGAATGTAGTTTTTGTCCGATGAGGTTTTGAAAGTGTTTAACTGGGTAGATTGCATGCTGATTTAATGTTTCCAGGCTCTGAAGATGGCCAAACTGCCGAAACGTCAGCCATTGTGAATTAATAAAGCTGTAACAACAACCTCCTCTTTGCTCGTAAAGGAAAACAATGAATTCTAAACGTGTTTAAATCTAAGAAGGCACTGTGTAGAAACTGTATACGTTACTGATGCGATATAACAAGTTCCCTCTTATAAATCTGCGAAGTTGTGAGCTCCTGAAATATTCTAGTGATTGAGGATTTGTCGTACCTTGTCGAAAAACAATCTGTATCGCGAATGTGTTAATTCAGTACTGAACTCGAAGTGTAATCGAAGTGTTACTTTTCGTAGAAGAGTTATATCGTTAATAAGTAGCAAATAGAAAATCGCTGTTTGAACGACGTCTATGCTATGAGCTGTTCTGGTAATCTAGACCGCTTGGGTTGCATCGAGAGGGAATTTCATTTCCGCTTTTTTCAGTTACACCCAGATAAGGGAAGTAGTGCAGAATCCAGTAAACACTTTGTCGAACTAAAGTTAGCTTATGATGTACTGCGTCGACCGGCCCAGCGACGAGCGTATGACATGCGAGAGAGAAAGCAAAGCTATGAGAAGTTTAGGAATCCTTACCATCATTATGACCAGTCTCACCAAGAACACACATGGTAAGTCTTTGTCTTCCATCTAAACTAGCTCCCAAATGTTCTCATATGGTTTTTTTTGTCAAGAAAGCATCTGAGGTTGTAGTCTGTATAGTTGTATAGTTCAGATTACTGCTTTAATGCAATTACGATACTTATTTCCAATTTTGTAAGGAAAACTGTTAGAAGACTGTGTTCCTTAGACACAAATTTTATTAATCGGTAGTTGTTACTGCTGAAGGAATGAAATTATCAGAATTTAGGGTAAACAAATGCCCACAAGATCATTATGTCAACTGTTCGTCGTACTCCACATTGTAGTGACTTCTACTTTATGGTTTTCATGTAGGCAGTGGAATCGTTTTTGGAAGCAAAGTTTCGATAACTCCGAAAATTTTGGTTCTTCGAGACAAGAACGTTTGAATGAGCAATGGCGATTCATTTTAAAGTGGACGACTGCGGGATTTGTTCTTGCTGTTATGTACAACATCGGTTATATGTATGTTGCTCATTCTTGTTTTTTCATCCACATTGTTCCTTGGTGTTGTCTCTAGTGAAGAATGATCTCTCTTGAGACTTTATCACTCGGATTTTTTGTGTTGTTAAGTACACAGTGCTTTGAAGTTAGCGCAGAGGTCGGAGGCGCTCTGCAGTACACATGGGATCGATCTTTGCGCCCCGACTTACCAAGCCTTCCATCCCTTCAGAGTCAGCAAACTGATAGCAGACTTGTCTGGGAGGGTAGTAGCACTGGCTGGACACATCGGTAGGCCACCGCGAGTCATTGTAAAGCCAGTTATGCATTTAATCACCTCCAACGATGATTAGTGAAGTCGAATGCATGGTGCATCCCGCAAGGATTGATTAGCGCCGAGAACTTTTTTTAAACTTTACTTTGAAGTGTCTCTGTCCGAATGGCGAAAATTCAGTCTGAATGCAGTTATGCATAATAATCGAACGTAGACTGCCTACTATCTTAGCTGTACATCAGTAACTGTTTAAAAGCATTGTTTAGACTCCATTTGCACGCAAGAGATCGTAGACTTTCCAAGCTTGTGGATGAACACGAAATAGCCAGGTCCTTTATGAGGCAGCCAGAATTTAGGGATAGTTTTCCGGACACACTTGAGGTGTGTTATTATTTGGTGGATTAAATTGACTGTACTTTAGTTTTTATTTGATGAGTTCAAGATTCATGAACTTGGTCGAATTCTGAAAGGAGATGTGGATGAAGCATGGAGAAGAAAACAGGAGGGCTTGGAAGAAAAAAATCCCAATGAAATACGCGAAGAATACAGGTAGGACTCGTTTGTCTGATATCTTAGTTTATAAATCGTCCTGATTGTTATTCCGAAACTAGGTAATGCTTTCTATTTTTCTAGGTGGATGCGTGCTGTACAAGACGCTGACCGTGGACGTCGAATTAAAGCAGAAAAGCGTCTAAGGGAGCAGTCGTCTGTAGCAGGATCCAAACCTGCAAATGGAATTCCAAAACTGGATTCCAGATGAATGTATTTATATTTCCTGTGTTTAGGTATTCTAGTGTTTGTGGGTTGGTGATAAGTTTCTCCACTTGGAATCTCGTTCTTGGAATCAGTAAGGAAACCCACCACCTTTCACTTTGCCATTCGTTTTGAGCGTGAAACTTGATAAATTGTACTCGAAATGAAAATAGTACTTATTTTTAGATGGATAGGGAAGGGTCAGGTTTAAAGCTACCTTTTGAGGTTTTTAAGACAATTCCGTTACCTGGATAGCGGAGTGGACGGCAGTTTTGTATCTTCTTCCCATATGTTTGACTTTCTTTCTCATCAACATGACCTTCTATTCTTGGGCGATTTTCCTAATTCCGTTGTCTGTCGTCGTAGATATTGCGGAGTTATAATTGTTTTTCGCTGTACAGTCTTGTTTGTCCTTCTTGGTTGTTTCTTTGCGATTTTCGGTTTTGATATGTCCTTTTACTGGAGCCTTCTAGTTCGGCATGTACATTTTTGTGTTGCGGGTGATCAAAGGCTAATGTAGGAGTAATAGAATTATCATTTGTTCTGTACTTTTGCAAATCAAAGGTATGACAACGCATTCGTTAAGTAATAAACTATCCCAGGAACTGTTATTAGTTTCTTTATCTCAACTCAAACTTCAGACATATACGGGACTTTGGTTTACCTTATATGCTTTGACACTGTCTTCATAATGGTTACCATTGCATCGCTCAGTTAATTTCATGTGGTGTTCTTCAGTGAAGTGCGAGTGAATGGAGGGGAAGATCGTTTTGATCACTGGTTCAACAACTGGATTGGGTAAGTCTTCTGGCTTTGAGTACTGTTGATGTTGTAACAAACCAGTGGGCTTGTTATGTTGCGGAAAAGTTGCGACTTTTTGCACTTCTTTATTTGGTCCAGTGGTTTGTTCTTCATAGGAGATAAATCTGTTGTAGGCCTTCACACGGCCAAGAATCTATACCTACGTGGGGCAACACTGATCCTCACATGTCGAGATGGAGTTCGTGGACGAGCTGCTTTAGATGCTGTGCAATCGCAGCTTAAAAAGGACGGCGATTTATCCTCAGGACGAGTTCATCTCTTCACTGTTAGTGAAATTTGTGTACTTCTTAAGTAGTGCTCTGAATTGGTTAATGATAAGAAGCAAAGGAAACCAGTGGAATGTCGCGAAAAAACATAATCATTTACTATCTGTGGTGCACCGTTTGTTGTATACATGGTTTTAGCTCGATTTAACTTGCTACAAATCGATTCTCGTTTTCTGTAGCGAAGTAAAATTGAATTTCGATCGGATCGACGTGCTTGTAAACAATGCTGGAGTTATGGGATTACCCTTTGAGGTGAGCTGAATTGATTGTTGCCTTTGGAAGGTTTGAGGGATGGTTTTCTCTTGAGCTGAGAGATTAAAGCGGTACTCTTAGAGTGGGAACTTTAAAGAGAAGGGCAGATTCTCTTTACTTCTGTATTCAATTTACTATTGTAACATTCGCAATATAAAACCAACCTTGTCACTGTGGGTGCCCAGTTCTCGCATAGTTATGAATTACCATATCTACCACGAATCTTCCTTATCATATTGATGGAATATTTGTATAGAATATGGGGACCTTAGGGAGCATGTAGCGTAGTGGTGGAGGCGTATTGAAGCACATATGGGATGGATCCTTGCGCCGTGGTCTCGCCAAGCCTTTCATACCTCCGGGGGCGTCAAACTGGTGGCAGATTTCTCTGGGAGAATAGCAGCACTGGCTCGATAGATCAGTAGACTGCCGCGAGTCATTGTAACGGTCAGATGTGCATTCAGTAACCTCCAACGATGCTCAATGAAGTCGAATGCATGGCGCATCCCTCAGGGGTCGATCAACGCTGAAAGATCTATCCTTTTACCTATTTTTGAGAACCGTATTTTGTAAAGTATCGGTGTAGATGAACCATCATCACTACCTACCTGAATGAACTCGATGAAGCCCATAATTTACTGTTAATTGAATCTATCTTGTGACTGTAATAATTTGTATTTGTTTCCTTCCAGCTTTCTCGAAACGGAGTTGAGATGCACTTTGCAACGAACGCATTTGGTCATTTCGTCCTCGTTAATAACTTACTGCCACTTCTTGAAAAAAGCATTGATGGGCGAATTGTTGTTGTCACCTCCGGGCTCTACAGAAGCGTACGTCTTCCTTTTAGATTGTTAATTTTGAGTGGATCTCTAAGTGTCATCGTAAATCGACCTTCTTTTGACCTCGGTATAAATGATCAATGCACTTCATTTCTTTAATGACCTAAGATGAGGTTATTACCACCTAACAACAACCTCGTGTTAACGTATAAATGAAATAAGTTACGCGGATCTCCAAGTGTTTCTTAATGCATAACTTCTGTAAGTCTTTTATATCTGTTCAAATGAGAAACTATAGTGAATCTCAACTCATAACATGCTCTTTTCACCGATCGAATTATAAATAAAGTTTTTAAATGTCGCTCACCATCTCTTTATTTGCTTAGACTTTTTGTTTGTTTCTGTGTGCTCTATGTTATAGGTCATTGCGCAATTCTTCATAGTAGCCGACGTTAGTCTTTAAATTCCACGTTGTGAAATATTGAGCGCTACACTTTAGGTTAACTACATTCCAACGCTTCGTCAATTAATGGGGGAACAGGATTGGGACTATCACCCACGTGTTGCCTATGCGGTCAGCAAACTAGCGAACTGCCTCTATACCGTAGAATTGGCGAGGTCTGTTCCAACTTATTTCTACTGTCTACCATTCGTTGACACAAGTGCTAAAGTTTCTTTAGCGAAGGGCTAAACGAAATGTGGAATAGTGAGATGCTTTTTATCCTGATAATAAAGTCTTTGGAAAAAAATAGCAAAGTTGAAGGAATCATCTTGGACATTTTGATACATGGACAAGCACTTTTCACTGGCAATGTGGGCGCCAGCACTTTTCCAATTCGTTTCTTTCTCGCGCGATCGTCGTCCATGGTGGTGGTGTGCTTCAAACATGGTGACGTCCGCGAGGCGCATTCCGTAATCCTGAAATCGTTGCCATCTGCGTGTGCTGGTGGTTGACGTTAGCCACGAACATGTCCGCCCATTTTTTTTTGGATGTTCACCACTCTACTGTTCTTTTCGTCCATTTGTGATCACTTCTTATTATATAACCGGTTCGTCTGTATTTCCCTATTGATGTATACCTTCATGCACTCTGAAGATGGGATAGATTTCGAAGATCTGATCCGCGCATTACGGATAGACGTCGTGAGTGCCGGTTGAATTTCAGGAGACGTCGCTCAAGCGCTCTATGACTGATGCGCAATGTTTTTAGCATGGTTGAAGTATCAGCCAACGTTTCTCCTGCATAAAAGACCACTAGGAGGACTGTTAAGTTGAAAACGTGTGCGCGGGATTTTTGGTCTGTTTGTTTTATTGGTAGTTACGAGAGGCTCCTTCATGTTGCTTTTTATGTTCATTGAACGTCCAAAGTATCCCTAAGAAGTGACTTTCTGTTATTGGAAAACCATTTGGCTCGATATCTTTGCCTTCACACCATGGGATCTTCATGATCTAAGTCTTCTTTCTATTTATGCGGAGTTTAGTTTTTTTTTCCCGCCTAGCTGATTTTATTGAGCGTCGTCTCTGCTTTGCTGGTACTTCCTGAAAAGATGACAGTATTATCCGCGAAAGGAAAATGTAGGAATTTTCCATCAGTACGTATGCCCTTCTCGTTCCAATCGAGTGACTTCACTATACACTGCTGTGCATCTGTAAACAGCTTTGGCGGATGATGTCGCATTGTCGAGCCCGTTTTTCTACAGAGATAACAAGAAGTCGATGGAAAAGCTGTATTTTCATGCTGCAGTCCCGATATCAGCTGGTGTTCATATATCGGAGGAGTCCAATCTTTAGTCGACGAGCGCTTATAGGATTACATTCGTTTTGACGCTGTCAAACGCTTCCTTGCAGTCGACAAAGGTTAGAAGAAGTGGCAGGTGATACTCACAACGGACTTCTATTACGCAGGGTATGGTTTGGAGGTGGATCCTGCTGCAGGAACTCTGTCACAATCTTCCTCAAATCCTTGTGCTTTACCTAAAGTTGGTGAGGTACGCGGTGGCTTAATCTCGTGAAGAATTATTTACGGCTTTCAGCTCGAGAAAGGTTAGCGGCGATCAGGTTTTGGGGCACTACACTCTTTCATGCTTTATATCACAACTCGAACAAACAATCCTAGCCGGTTTTTCTCTAGCGAGCAACTTGGTCATGGTTCACTAGTGGTTTACTGTCTCATCAAGTCTCGAGGGTGTTCTGGGATGTCGCGCAACAATTAGCAGGGTTTATCCCTCAGCAGTGTCTCCCAAGTTGAGAAAGAGCTCGCCGTTTTCATTTGCAAGCCCAGCTAAAAGTAAACCAATGCCAGGCATCACTACCATTCTGATATCAGATTATTCGCATGGTGGCAAATGTTCCTCATTTACAAAGCCTGGCGATTGCTTGTGATGGTGACCACTTGAGGATAGCTTGAGTCAGGCTGGCATCGGGACTCCAGAAAACCACAAGGGGTCAACCAGCAATAATCCAGTTTCAGTACCTCTCATACTGAGCTTTGCCATCTTGGACGTCGACCTATGAGATAACCGGTGAGGGGTGATTAAATCTCGAGTAGCATAGGACGTCATTGGAAACTTGGCTTTATCGGTGCACCCATCTATTTCCCATCAACTCATCTCCTTTGAGATCGTATCACCGCTCTTGGCCATTCTTCAATTTTCGCGTCATAAGAAAGCCAGTCGATTGCTACTCACTAGCTTGTACAGGTGATTACAGCGAACTAGACGCGTTCTGCAACCAGCTGGCGGAACTAATCGACAAGAAGTCCTACAAATACGTTGTTAGAGACACCAGTGCAAGATTAGGAACGGCTAACGAGAATGAATACAGGATAAGGAAATTTGTAATAGGAGAACGAAATCAGAATTGAAACCGTCGACTCCTGTCCACAGTACGTCTCTGTCATGGGAATTCATTTCTCGAGAAGGAAGAAAATCGCTGATAAGCATGGAGACTCCGATGGCAGTGGTGGATGATTGCACGAGAATCGAATGGATGAGGTGCTGTAGTGCACAACGAGCGTTTAGAGGGACCATCCAACTACCCTTGTAACGTTAATAGTCAAGTTCCTACTGATGGGAATTGTCGCCACAAGGTTTTATACAATATCTACTTCTTTCGTCTGCTAATATGTTATCACCTGCCGCCTTTTTTAAATCTCACCATTGTGCTAGAGGTCTGAACGTCCGTTTCGGTAATGTAAAAGGATAAAGGATAAAGCTGTCGGCGTTGATCAATCTCTGAGGGATGTGCCATGCGTTCGACTTCATTAAATGTCGTTGGAGGAGATTGAATGCATATCTGGCCTTTACAGTGACTCGCGGTGGTCTATCGATGTATCGAGCCAATGCTGCTATCCCACCAGACAAGTCTGGTACCAATTTGCCTACCCCGGAGGGACAGAAGGCTTAGCGGACCATGGATTCGAGGATCGATTCCACGTATCTGTTGCAGAGCGCCTCCAACCACTGCGCCACACGCGCCCTACTTCGACCATATAATGCTAAGCAATAGGTCTTTATTTTGTTATACAAAGAAGTTACGTTTGATTTGTAGAGTATAAACCTTTTAGTTTTTTCATTGTGTGAAATCTGTGGTTCTCTCGAAAACTTCTAAAAAATTTGTTCAGATTCTTTTACGTCCAATCATCTGTTCTTAGTTTTCACATCGCACTAAGGTTTATATACAATAGATTTCTTGTGTTGCATTGATGATAAGTCTGCAATATTACTTTATTGTACGGTTGACATTGAAAAGGCATAAGTGAAAGTTTAAAAAAAAGTTTTTTTTAAAATAGTACTAGTACGTTTAAGAACGACTCCATCCGTTAAGCAGTAAAGGAGTGGTTGTAATTGGTAATGATAATGAATCGATAGAACTAATTCAATATTACCACAAGGATGCTCAGATGGGAGCAAAACTCGGAACCTCAGTTGGACTTCGAACTTGCGATTAATCTTTTCATGGGCTAACGTGGTACCTCCTTCCAACGGTTTACTGCCTCATCGTGGCTGGGAGTGTTCCTGGGTGTCGGACTGCGATTTACAGCGGGGGATTCATCCACTGGCAGGGTTTCCCAAACTGAGAAGGAGTCCGGCATTTCCATCAGGAAGCTTAGCTAATAGTAAACCAATACCAGGATCCACCATCGTCCTGGTATCAAATTCGCGTGGTGGCAAATGTCCCTCTGATCCACAAGGGCTGCGGCTGCCCGTGGTGGTGAAGACTTGGGGCAGAGTTTGGCCAGACTGACCTCGGGACTCCAGGGAACCATAATGGCTTAACCAGCAAATCTCCGAAAAATAGAGATTTTGCTGGGGCCTGCGCAACCAGTGAAGACGGGCCATTCAAGTACCAAGTATCAAGTGAGTAACGTGGTACCCACCAAATCAACTAAGGCTCTTCCTTGGTTACCTCGCTTGCGGTGTGTGCCACGTGAGCTCCAGGAAAAGGTAGTCACGAGTTCGAAACCTAAATAAAGTTCCGGGTTTTCCTCTTATCTCAGTATCCATGGGGTTGTTTTCATATCGTGCTGTGCCATTAAAAAAGAATAAGTAGTAAATAAAAATTGAACCACTGTGATTCATTATAGGTAGGCGGCAAGGTTTGGGTGTAGATTCAGTTTGTTGCATCATGCTGGAGCGGATCGTCTACTATCATACAGAGAGGTCGAAGAATAAAGCAGCAAGCCTTTCTGGAGTCCATGAGGCCATTAACTGTTTGTGATGACGACCGTGCACGCCCTAGTGGTGCTATCTTGAATTTTCAGGGAGAGCAACGTTGTACCAGCGTTCTTGTCGATGAGGAGAGGTGTTTATAGATCCTCAAGTTGCAGTTATCTCCACATCCGAACTCGACTATATAATTAGAAAAATTGCTAAATCTATTTTGAAGTCGCTGGGGTTGTACTTGTTGTTTTCCTATGATCAAGGATTTAAATATTGACGTGAATTTTTGCATAGTTAGCTGTCTTGCATTAAACAAGAAGAGTTGCAAAAGTGCACTGGTGAGATGCAAAGAAATAATTTCTACAGGCGGTTAACGTTCAATCGTTGCAACACGAAAGTCTACGCAATTCGCCCAGGATTCGTAGGTGGTACAGAATTGGGTCGAGAAACACACTGGCTTCTTCGATCACTTGCATCTCCGATTATATGGTTTTTCTCCAAAAACCTTGATCAGGTTAGAACGAATCTCATTGTGTATTGAATGCTAGAATTTAGTGGTCGCTCATATTTTCCTCAGTTATATCATATCAGTGTTTCGAGTCTGTATTTTGCAGGGTATTGAATCCATTATAAATTGTGCCGTTACGCCCAACAACGAACTGAATTCGGGTGCTCTTTATCACGGGTGTAAGGAGGAGGAATACGGACCTATAGTGACTGAGGTAAATTTTAAATGATATGATGCTCACAAGAGGTGGTATTTTTGTGAATTTTAACCGTTTTATTTACTACCTACTCTTTTTAATGGCAGGGTATATTGCGAAATATAACTTCAATGATGCTGAACGAAGGACCCGCATGGTGTGGTGGCGAACGCGTTAGCTCTCCGAAAGTGCGTTCGTTCCCCATCGCAGACACCAGCGGTCCGGAGTTTTGCAAATATCTCAGCATCATTGAAGTTATTTCTGTGAATCATAACGGGGAAATGCCGATGGTAACACTAGTGAATTTAGTTGATTTAATGTAGGATAGGATAAAGAGCAAACTTTGCTTTTGTCTTTAATAAATTGACAAGTAGGAGAAGGAATGCACCACATGTAGTTAAGCCGTCAGTTGTAGATAATGCAGTAGCGCAGTTGAGGATGGCGATCGTTTTGAAAAAGCCTGTAGACTATCCAATTAAGCAGCTTTTTACGTTTCTAACATATTTTCCCTCCCTGTAAGTCACATTTTTGGAACCGCAGTTTACTTGAGGTATTTGGTTTCTAGAAAGACCTAACGAGGCGTTTGCTTGATGGCAACGGCATATTATCTGCTTCAAACACGAATTTCCGCAATAATTCTGCTTCTAGGTGAACGCTGCAAATATGTGGGATATTTTCATGCACATGGAAGAACTGATATTAATAAGATGCCATATGTTGACAGAAGAAGAGAGAGCACAAGCAGATGTAGCAAGGAATGCGTTGCCAGTGAAATCGTTGTGACCCTACGTTTATCCCTTATGTAGGAGGTACATTTCCTGTCATTCTTCCATACTCCAAATTCGAGTTTAGTTTGAGGCTAGACATGGAAACAGAACTGAAGAAACGTTTGAACATAAAATGACACATCTTTAGTGGGGCGTTTCTCATCTACGACTTCACAAAACGATTTGCATAAAAGCTAATGCATCATATTCAAAAACGAGGTAGAGTAATAGAGTGAGAATTGTCAAATGTAACCACGGAACCATTTATAATGTAAGGTTGTATTTTATAAAACGAATGAAGTAACGTGAATCAGCTACTTAGTTTTAGTAATATTTCTAAGCTGCTATTGTAAAGTTTATCCCGCGCCAACTCTGTCCGCACTTTGTTATGAAACGTGTAATCAGATGGTAAAATTCCTTCAATGCATAATTGCTTCGAATGCATGACAACGGAATGTGCTATAGATAAGCAGTTCGGTTTGTTTTGACAGATTACGGTAAATGAGCCAAAGATTTTATACGCCACTGATAAATACTGATGTGAAGATCTGCGATATTTCCTGACAAGCTCGATTTATTGCTTTGTGTGATCTGTTTGAATATTAACATTTAATCAGTTAAATTTTGTTACTTTTTTAACTACATTTTAACAGGAATAAATCATCTGATTTCTTGTTCCTCCTTTACCTTCCGCAGTTCGACAGGCTTCAGGTGATTGTTATTGTTCTGGGGTCAAAGATAAACTGATGCACCAACCATAAATTTTCAATATAAATAGAATATGGTCTTTATTGGATGGTCATGCCTTACATAACGCACAAGACGATGCATTGACAACTGCTTGTACTCTGTTACAGCACGTTCTTTAGAGATGCTCAGCATTTCGGATATTATCGCTAACCATTCCTCCCAACGGTTTACCTCCTCATCGTGGCCGGGAGGTGTTCCTGGGTGTTGAATTGCGATGTACAGCGGGGTGATTCGTTCCCCCGACGGAGTCTCCCATGCTGAGAAGAAGTCCAACGTTTCCATCAGGAAACCTAGCTAAGAGTAAACCAATACCAGCACCCACCACCGTCTTTGTATCAAAGTCGCATGGTGGTAAATCTCCCTCTGATCCACGAGGGTTGCAACTGCTTGTGGTGGCGAAGACCTGAGACAGACTTTGGCCATGCCGACGTCGGGATTCCAGGGAACAACAATGGCTTAACCAGCAAATCTCCGAAAAATGGAGATTATGCTGGGGTCCGCACAACTAATGAGGACGCGCCGTTCAAGTATCAAGTATCGCTAACCATGGGACTTGGCTTCTCACATCATTCTCGAGCGGCTAGTCGGCTAATTCGAGGATTTTTTGTCGCTCTGGAAGTCGCGACAATTCAGGTCATAACGTAGGTTAGACTACTCCAATACTCAGAGGTCAGTTACGGCTTGTGTTGGGAGGATCGTAGTATGCCTATCTCAAGATTCCAACGTGCAACCAACATCCAGCATGTCGACGATCAGAGCAGGTAAGTTAGAGTCCGATGGTCGTTCCAAAAAAACGGAGCGAATAAAAGTACTTAAACATCATTTGAGGAGGGGCCGACTATGTGCTTAGGTATGCTTAAATGTTATATAGAATAGTTTGCTTAATCTGTGGCAATCTCTTTGGTTAAGTCGTCGGCGCATTAATTTTCTGGAGCCAGTAGTTCGTAGTGAGCCGTGCATTGGATTTTTTTTTTCAAAGAGACGATATGAAAGACTTAATATAAAAGCTCAGAGTGGGGAAGAAATTGGCACTGAATTTCGAATGGTGACCGGTATTCGTAAAATCACTGCAGTAGATAGGATTGCTGATTTGTTGTCCTCATAGTTCATTGTAGATAAATGTCACACATATTTGTTTTGTAGAAGTTCTCTTAGTGATGGTGGTGTTGACACGTTTATTGATTGATTTCACCAACAGTGGAATGCTGGTGAGTGAATCGTATAACTGACAATCACTGAGGAGCTACGAAATATTGAAAGTAAACGACTATGTCGCAGTGCTGTGTATAACCCAATTTATCATATTCCAATGAATAGACGAACTCTGTATGATTCCGTTTCATGATGGAGAATTTACCGCCACTGTTATACATCGCTGTCGTTGATGGTTGAAGGTCACATCAAGCCGATTCTTCGTATTGGTTTGAAAGTAACAATTGTCAAAAGAAGCTCACCTCGGTAAAAAATGTCAGGACTGTAGGTGTAGAACTTCTTAGCCAGGCTTTGGAATTACCTTCTACGTTGTCACTCACTACCATGAGTGTTGTCAGATAAAAGCCTCACTTTGTTGCGTCTGGAATGTGTTAATGAGGTAAGATACCTTCTGAGGTTAAGCTACAGAGGTGATCAAGTGACCACTTGTCATCAGAATTTCATAATGCAACTCCTTGTACCATTAACATTGGAGACGAATCTTCTTGCAATGCTTGGTCTCTGTTCTTTAGAGTGGAAATCGCTGGCTTTTCTGAGCACTTTAGACCGTGGAGGAAAAGAGGCCATCTTCAGCAAGTGGCTTTCAGAATTTCATTTACGTGTACATTAAAGAAACTGCGATTCGGAGACACATGACTTGCTTTCTCGACGCCGATAACGAATCCATGCCTAGAAAAAGTATTAATAGCCAGGTTTCCTTTATGCTAACCGATGACCGTATGGATATCAAGGATAAAAGCATGAGAAAGTTCTCACTGATCAGTCGTTGAGGGATACGTCATTCTTCCGACTTCATTAACCACCTTTAGAAGTGAATGAAGGCATATCTGGGCCTATAGAATGACTTGTCGATGTAACTCCCACGACCGACTTTCTATTAACCTCGGCATTGATCAAGTAATTCTTCGTATTTTTGTTGAGCAAACGCGAAGTGTTATTATTCCTTATTCACTTAGTGGAAACCTCATAGAAAGCGGTTCTGAGGAAGGCGAAATCCGCGGAAACGTCAGCTTATTCGTGAATGTCGATGTATCAAGTCAGTGCTGTTCCCCTCCCAGACAAGCCTGGTTCTAATTTGGCTACCTAGAAGGAATGGAAGGTTTGATGAACCTGGAGCGCTGAATCGAACCAATGGCCACATGCATATTGCAGAGGCACTTCTATCCACTGTGATATACGCGCCCTGGACACCCAGGATACCCTAAAATATTTTAGTTTGTGAAACTGCTCGTTGTTCATGAGCAAATTTTCCTACTTAGTTCTTATTTATCATTTTATGCATCAGTATGGAAAGATTTTACGTCTATGAAATCTGAATGTGTGAAAAATGGAAGTGAAGAAGAAAATTCCCTGGGAATGGTGAGGCAGCAAATCTCTAGTTATGAGGACCAACTGCTCTTATAATTGAGTTTCGCACGTTCACTAATCACGTGGTAAATTGCTCGCGTTCTCTAATTACCCTTTTGTCCTGAATGAGTTCAACATAACCAAGTTCATGATTCCAGGGATTACTGGGGTGTGGTAAAGACCTTATGTCAGATAGTTGTACACCTTCATCAGATCTTTGTCGACATCAACTCGTAGTTGAATAGCGACTGTATAGATATAGAGAAGCTCCCGTTGCAGGTAGTAAGAAGATTTATTGGGAAGCTTATGGCTTACTTCAGAGCTTTAAGGCATCTCTATGAGATGAATGAGCTTTTCGCGCGAAAATAAGCATTTACCACGCTGATGCTATAAACGAAATTTGAGATAAGACATGTATCGTCCCAAAAATAACGCATTCATATTGAAAAGACTGCATAATCAACGTCTTTTTTAAAAATCGATTGGTGCTTTTATTGGCTAAGCAGGCTTTTGTCTTTGTGGACCTGGGACGGCTGGTCTGTGGCGTTTTCTAGTTATCATCAATGACCTTCGTGGATCTAAGAAAACACGGTAGGTCCAAGATTTTTTTTTCTAGAACTGGTGGAACTAGCGGCATAAGTCTATCCATAGTAGAGCCTGAGGGGTGGATATTTTGAAAGCTTTCTTTCTGTGGATGATCACAGCAAGGAATAGACTAGCTGCTATATATCGCAGTTTTTCATCCGGAATCATCTGTCACACTAAGACGTTAAACAATTATAGCAGTGACGAAATAACTAGCGAGTATAACTATATTTTTGACATTTTGGTAAGATTCGGCGAAAAATGCGTTTAAAGACATGCCGTCATACTATTGGAGAAGTGTCCGTATTGAATTACTTATTGAGGAACTAGAATAATCACCTGTTACCTGTCACCTGTAGTCCCGTTGATCGT